GGCTCTTGATATGTATTTCAAATGTGTTTCCAGAAGGTTTCCATCAGTGTACATTCCTGGTATGAGAGTTCTTGCCTCACCATACTATCGAAACCATTTTTGTGTCTTATTTTCTGATCTTTTCAAGCATGAAAATTGAGTCTAATTGTTGAAAGGAATTCACTCTAAACCACTAGGTCCTGTAGTTACTTTGTCTGAGTTTATAGGGTTAGAGTGACCTTACTTCTTTAACCTCCATCTCACTTACTTTCTGAGAAACTCTAATCTGAAAAGCCAGTTCACAATCTTTTCTGGCATCAGTACTTCTGGTAACCAAATGTCCATGAACTGCATTTCTCTGGAGTGTTCCATGATTTAGATTTGGTCTACCCTTGGATTCTGTTTAACAGGGCAGGATCGGCTTTCTTTGTTTCCTCTTTCACCATCCATACCTTGTTAAGTTCCTGCTGAGTTGAGAGATCTTTGCAAATCTGATTAAATTTCAAACTAGTCTCCTTGCCAGCTGGCTGATGTGTAATTTGTTGCTTGGCCATAAATCAGGTTTTCCTTACATTTCTGCCTCAGGCAGTAAGAGGTAGTGATGGCTATGGGTGATACTCTGGGGAAGGGCTGGGAAGGCATGTCAGTAGTTTTGTAGGAATCACAGGCTTGGAAGAGTTAGAAGCCAGGAATGAAATGAGACCCACAGTGAAGATGTATGAGGATTGGGAGCGGAGGAATGAAGGCCCTTGTGTAACACCCATTCCAAGCCCTGATAAGAATGGAGTTCAGTTCAGTTGCTCAATCGTATCCGACTCTTTGCAACCCCATGGACTGCAGCACACCAGGCCTCCCTGTCCATCACCAGCTCCCGGAGTTTACTCAAACTCATGTCCATTGAGTCGGTTGACGCCATCCAGCCATCTCATCCTCTGTCGCTCCCCTTCTCCTCCTGCCTTCAATTTTTCCCAGCATCAGGGTGTGAAAACACCCCGATTCACCAAGTGAGAAGGCAGTTCCCTTTCCAGCTCTCTGATTTACCATGATCTCAAAGAGAAAGTATCATTCTTGTGCTACTGTGTCTTTAACAGCTCTCAAATGCTTCTAAGAGAAAACAGGCCTCAGACCAAGAGCCTTTCTGGGCAATTCAATAGCTGGAATAAGCTGGAATACAATAGCATGGTTTTATTCTTTAGTGAATTTATTTTTGTGTTATTTATTTATTGCAAGTAAGTGTTTTGGTTATAATAGTAATATAAAATTTCCTTTAAAATTAGTCTGTTAGAGTAGTAAAATAAAGTCGATTTAAAGGAAAAAGTTAAGCACATAACTTTGCTTTTGAGACTCAATTATGGCCAAAAAATGTGAGCATTGTGCCTGAATGACTAAGATTTGGAAAACAGAGTCCCAAAGGAAGAAGGTAACGAAGAGTACTCTGAGATCCTACAGTTCTGTATTAAAAATTACTTTCTCCAGTTTTATTCATTCATTTGTTCACCATGCAGCACAAGAGTGTTTTCAAGAAACCTTTCTTTCTTTTTTTTTTTGACTTTGCAGATTCCAGAAAGAAATTGGAAATTGAAGATATAAGGATAGAATGTTGTTTTATAGTATTCTCACTTACTTCAAAGAACACATGCCAGAAACTTAAAAAGGTATTACTAACCACTAGTTTAAATATACATTTAACATCATCAACTGGTATCCTTAAGGGAACTAATTTTCTAAAACTTTGGATCCTTAAGTGAGTCATAGACTTGACAACAGTAGAAAAAGCTGAACTAGTCTAATCAGTCAGCATACTTATAGTGGAATAGTAGCTAATCACTCATTCCTTCAAATTCCTTTTGATAAGAATCTCTTGCCTTTCTTGTTTAGAATGTTGTTTAGAATGCTAGAATGTATTAAAAATTATTATCAGGTTATAAAAGGGAAGGGTATTGTGTGGGGTCCCCTTGAGAATCTCTGGAAGGCTTGCATTTCACAACGTGAAGGTAAAAGATGATAAAATGTAAAAATGCAAGAAAAAAAAATGTGTCAAAGAGCAGGAGACTAGTTGTGGGGAAAAACTGTGAGAACAATGGGACCTAAATGTTAACATAGGTAGGCTTGTGAAACAAACATGTTTGGAACTCTTATGAATTTTTTTTAAGATCAACAAAAAATATTTAAAGCTATCTCTCTGGGATATGTGGGGTTTAAATGAAAGACTAGTTCAAGAAGGCCTTTCCACTTTCAAGAGTGTGATCCATTTTATATCCATAGGATGATTAGAAAATTAAGTGGCTGAGAGATCTTATTCTGGGGGGCAGCAATCAGTACAATTCTGGGGTTGCACAGATAAACCCAGAGAATTTTCTTAATACCCAAATAAAAGAGCTTGGGCCCTACCAAGACAGGAAGTTCAGCACCTATATGAGGTTTTTGAGGATTTCCAGGGAGATGGTGTCTTCTGGTCATCCACTGCTTGGAATTCCACATTACCTCTCTTTCTCGTCCTCCTCCTGTCCCACTTCACTCCAGCATGGCCATTGCCACTCCTTCATTCCCTCAGGTGCTTACATGTAACCGGCTTGGCTGGAGTTGTAAGGAGAGCTGGGGCGGGGCTGTGGAGAGGACTACAGCACAGCCCAGACTGGGCAGTGAGGGCGGACCTGCTGCTGCTCCTAGGTTCCTGGGCTCTGACTACCGCAGGAGATTCATGACTACCACAGGACATTCATGACTACCACAGGACATTCATGACTACCACAGGACATTCATGACTACCACAGGACATTCATGACTACCACAGGACATTCATGACTACCACAGGAGATTCATGACTACCACAGGAGATTCATGACTACCGCAGGACATTCATGACTACCGCAGGACATTCATGACTACCGCAGGACATTCATGACTACCGCAGGACATTCATGACTACCGCAGGAGATTCATGACTACCGCAGGACATTCATGACTACCGCAGGAGATTCATGACTACCGCAGGAGATTCATGACTACCGCAGGAGATTCATGACTACCGCAGGACATTCATGACTACCGCAGGACATTCATGACTACCGCAGGACATTCATGACTACCGCAGGAGATTCATGACTACCGCAGGAGATTCATGACTACCGCAGGACATTCATGACTACCGCAGGACATTCATGACTACCGCAGGAGATTCATGACTACCGCAGGACATTCATGACTACCGCAGGACATTCATGACTACCGCAGGACATTCATGACTACCGCAGGAGATTCATGACTACCGCAGGAGATTCATGACTACCGCAGGACACTCATGACTACCGCAGGACACTCATGACTACCGCAGGAGATTCATGACTACCACAGGACATTCATGACTACCACAGGACATTCATGACTACCACGAATGCCTCATCCCAGCTCGCGCTCTCCTCAGGGCATTTTGCTCTCTCCCATCAATTCCCACAACTCATTGGCTCCAAATTCTGGGCCCTGTCCCCTCACAGGGCATGTAGAAACTTCTAATCCCTGTCAGCTAATTTGGAAAACATACATTTGCATCCTTATTCCAATCTAGGATTGAGACATACATTTCCCCCCCTAAACTTTAAACTTTTTATTTTGTATTGGGGTATAGCTGATTAACAATGTTGTGGTAGTTTCAGTTGAACAGTGAAGGGATTCAGCCATACATATATATATGTATCCATTCTCCCCCAAACCCTCCTCCTATCCAGGTTGGCATATAACATTGAATAGAGTTCCATGGAGGCATACTTTTTAAAAAGTAATAATAATTAAGAAGTTTTGCTAAACAAAAGCATTGTCTATCTCTGGGCATCTACCCCAGTGATGTAACCCACAAGCGGGCACAACTAAATTATGATTTTTTACTGTAATACATCTCAGATCAATATCTTAAGCATGACTCCATCTTGCTTTTGTTGTTCAGTTGTTCAGTCATGTCCATCTCTTTGCGACACCATGGCCTACAGCACACAGGGTTTCCCTGTCTTTCACTATCTCCCAGAGTATGCTCAAACTCATATCCATTGAGTCAGTGATGCCATCCAACCATCTCATCCTCTGTCATCCCCTTCTCCTCTAGCCCTCAATAATTACCAGCATTAGCGTCTTTCACAATGAATTGGCTCTTTGCATCAGGTGGGCCAAAGTATTGGAGCTTCAGCATCAGTCTTTCCAGTTAATATTTTTTTTGTTTCTAATGAAGACGAATTTTAAAGCGAAACTCAAAATTAATACTGCATACTGCTGTGTATATGCAGGTATCAAGAACTCAGTATTTTGTATATACAAACACTACAGACACAGATTTCACTACATTTAAAATTCAGTACTCAGTAAGGCCCTTGACTATACAATGTCCTTTATGCTGCAAACTATATTAAGAAAAATTTTAACTGCATCAATGAGCTTAACGTATCTCTGCTATAGAACAAAATGGAGTGAACTTAAAACACTTTTCATTCTCTTGACTGTAAGACACTGTACCAAGCTGGGCCAGGAGAAAATAAGAACAAACATGGAATACCCAACAGTTATTTCAAGCAAAAAGTAGATACTCCAGTGAATATTGAGGGCTGATTTCCTTTAGGATTGACTGGCTTGATTTCCTTGCAGTCCAAGGGACTCTCAAGAGTCTTCTCCAATACCACAGTTCAAAAGCATCAATTCTTTAGTGCTAAACCTTCTTTATGGTCCAACTCTCACATCCATACATAACTACTGGAAAAACCATAGCTTTCACTAGATGGACCTTTGTTGACAAAGTAATGTCTCTGTTTTTTAATATGCTCTTCCTGCTCTAAATAGAGAAATTCCAGGACCAAAGAAAGGTGAGGAATGGTGTGCTGGGGAAATCTTTCCTATGGCTTTGGCTTTGTTGGTGATTTCATTTGTCTCTTCAGGGGCTGCACTGAGAGGCTGGCCCTGGATCCTGATTGCCCTTCTGCCAGAGAGACACATGCAGCCAAAGATGAATTTGGGGAAAGCAGCCGCTTGCTTCTTGAACCATGGAAAAGCAGGGCTGCAGTGAGACGGAAATAGTCTCATCAGAGTCTTACTCCTTCATCAAGTTGTTGAAGGTCAACCGGGAGCATCTGGTCACTCACATCCGAAACACTCAGTGTCTGCTGGACAACCTGCTGCAGAATGACTACTTCTCCACTGAGGATGCAGAGATCGTGTGTGCCTGCCCCACGCAGCCCGACAAGGTGCTGGTGACGGGGATGCCAGCTCTGGTGGCCAGGCGGGGCTTCTTCCCATTGACATGGGTGAAGAGCTTTGCGTTCAGTACATTGGGTGGTTATTTACAGAACAGAAATTACAGATTTCATTTCTGTGATCATGACACAGCAAGCTCCTCTGATCCCCTCCATTCTCCTTGCTGTGTGTACTGGTTCTCAAACACCAATTCACTTTAAATTAGTGAATTCTTTAGAAAGAAAGTGAGCATGAAACGCTAGCCATGTTACCCCCTTCCATGCCTGTTAAACCCTGGAGAGCCGCTCACTGCTGGGTATGGTTCTGCGAAGGGCCCTCACTTCTGATTGAGGAAAAGCTGCATTGTAACCCAGGTCCACAGTAAAGAATTTCTTACACTTCACTGCTGGGGAGTCTTCACAGCCCTTGGTTTCACTTTAATTTTGTGTCACATTCAGAAAAATAGAATGGAGGGACCAAAACCTCCTTCTTGGGGAGAGGAGTGACAGAATTCATTTGTAATGAATGAAGCCCCTGCTGGGGCTTCCCTGGTGGCTCAGTTGGTGAGGAATCTTCCTGCAATGCAGGCGATCCTGGTTTCATCCCTGGGTCAAGAAGATCCCCTGGAGAAGGAAATGGCAACCCACTCCAGTATTCTTGCCTGGGAAATCCCATGGACAGAGGACAGAGGAGCCTGGTGGGCTGTAGTCCATGGGGTCGCAAGAGTTGAACACAGCTTAGTGACTAAACCATCGGCAGTACCTGCTGGGCTCAGAAAAGACCAGAAAGGTTTCTGAGAAAAGCACAAAAGAACACTGTTGTGATTTTTTTCCCTTGAATTTTTAATACAACAGAAAACTTTCTTAAGGTACACCTTACGCAGGAGTCTGCTGTCCATTTGCTCTGTGGCCCACCACCCACCTCATTATGCCTAATGGATGATTTTCTGCCCTCAGCTCTTATTCCCAGAGAGCAGTAATAGGTTAAGAGGGAAAAGAAGAGGTGGGAAAAAGAAATTCCAGGGGTGGGCCTGACCCCAGTTGTGAGTCTGACCTTTTTAGGCTCGTGGAAGCCTCTGTTTTCCTAGAGCCATGTAGTTCATTTCTTGCTCAGGAGGCCCATTTCACAGATCCTGGGTCTTCAGGCTATAGCATCTCACACTGGCTGGGTGGACAGTCAAGCTCGAGGCTGAAGAGCTCAGAGCCCTGCATGTGGGCCCCTCTGGGGGGTGGGCAACCCTAGCACTGGCCCTCACCCTCCTGCTTGCACCCCACTAGGTCCGCAGAATTCTGGACCTGGTACAGAGCAAGGGCGAGGAGGTGTCCGAGTTCTTCCTCTACGTCCTCCAGCAACTCGCAGACGCTTATGTGGATCTCAGATCTTGGCTGTCAGAGATCGGCTTCTCCCCTTCCCCGCTCATTCAGAGCAAAGCTGTTGTCAACACTGACCCAGGTACGAGGGAGCCGCCCAGGAGGCAAGGCCCCCAGGGCTTCGAAATGCTCTCTGTGCAGGCCCAGGAGGGGATAAAGGTGGGGTCCATTTTGGCCAGCCCTGCCTTCCACCCCGGCAGCAGGCTCTGCTGCTGTGTTCCTTTTAGAAAAAGAGAGCTGGATCCCTGTCACACTTGTGCAGCCCAGGGGACTGTGATTGAACTGCCTGCATGTAGCTGGTCTGGTTTATGTAAGGGCCTATGGAGGTATTGGGATGACTTCTCTTTGAACCCCCTGCTGGCTTCCTATTCTGACATATCTAGACATTTTTGTGCTTGTACAAATTCAAGGTTGTATTTTTTTTCCTTCTTAAAAATCTTTCCAAATTTGATTCTAGGGGAAGAATTCTTCTATCACTCCTGACTGCCAGTCCTTATTTCCAAAGCATCATACCCACCCCACCCCCCCAACTTGCCCTTTAGTTAAATGATTAGTTCAGTAGATATTTATGATGTGTTCACCATGCGCTAAGGCTGGGTGTGCTGGATGCCAGGGGTACAATGCGGAACAGACCCAGATATGGTTCCTGCCTTCAGGAAGCTCAGAGGTTAATGCAGGAAACTGGTAGTAACACAAATGTATAGTTGCAGATAGTGATAGGAGCACAGCAGTCCGAGATGCTGAGAGAGCACATAATTGGGGCCACAGTCTGCTCTGAGGACCAGGGAATCGTCTTTCCATGCCTGTGGTCGCTCCACTTTAAGACAGCCATTGGCAACATACCAGCACGGAGCTTCCAAACTCTGAGCTTCAAAGAGTCCAGTTTGACCTTGAAAACAGAAGCAAAGGATCATGTTCCAGACTGTCAGGTGTGTATTTGGGAGAAACTAGACCCAGAGACAGAGTGTTAGGGCCAAGCTATTGCTTCTGAGGTCCCAACACTTAACTCACTGGCCATTGCTAGCTTCTCACTGTCACTGCTCCTGCTCACCTCACTTCGTTATTTTTGTTGTTGATCAGTTGCTAAGTCGTGTTCAACTCTGTGACCCCATGGACTGCAGCACGCCAGGCTCCTCTGTCCTCCATTCTCTCCCATAGTTTGCTCACATTCGTGTCCATCGTGTCAGTGATGGCATCCAATCATCTCATCCTCTGTCGTCTCCTCCTCCTGCCTTCAATCTTCCCCAGCATCAGGATCTTTTCCACTGAGTCAGATCTTCACATCAGGTGGCCAAAGGATTGAAGCTTCAGCATCAGTCCTTTCAATGAATATTCAGGGTTGATTTCCTTTAGATTTACTGGTTTGATTTCCTTGCTCTCCAAGGGACTCTCAAGAGTCTTCTCCAATACCACAGTTCAAAAGCGTCAGTTCTTTGGTGCTCAGCCTTCCATATGGTCCAACTCTCACATCCAGTTGGATCTGTACATGACTACTGAAAAAACCATAGCTTTGACTATACAAACCTTTGTCAGCAAAGTGATGTCTGCTTTTTAATATGCTGTCTAGGCTTGTTATCTTCCCCTAGGAAAAAAGGAAAATATTCCTTTGGTGAAGAGTTCTCTAAAAGGACTTCTCCATTGGACCCTATACCTAGCTACTGTAACAGATTTTAAAGTATAATTCACTCTGTAAAAAGCCAAATGCAAAAGGCTGCATATTGTATGAATCCATTTATAGGAAATGTCCAGAAAAGGCAAATTCATGGAGACAGAAAGCAGACCAACAGTTTCCCAGGGCCAGGGTGAGACACAGATAGTCAGCAAATGCACTTATGATGGATATTGTACGCCTGGATTATAGTGATGTTTGCATAAATCTGAAAATTTACTAAAAATCATTGTAAACCTGTTGTAAAATAGGTGAATTTCTAGTCTGTACATTTTTCCTTACTAAAACTTAGAAAAATAGAATTTATTTCACAAATGTTAAGCAGAGAACCAAGTTGATAGGAGAGGGTTGTAGATGAATCTGGAAATATGCACGTGTCCAGTTTTTATGCTATCATTAAAACCCAGAAAGGATTTTAAAGGAATTTCTGGAATACCCTTTTTCTGCCTGGAGTCAGGTCATTTCGTAGCTTGGTTCTGCAGAGTGTGGCACCCATGTCCGCATGTTAAGCCATGTACTTACCCGCCTATGGGCAATCCCAGGGCTCCCCCTAGGGCATGTGCCTAAGCATCAGTGATTCCCCAGGCCTCAGCTTTGGAACCAGGACTGCTGTACTCTGTGGAGTCCTATTATTACTCAGTTACAGTGAGGCACAGCCCCTTTGTAGTCCATATTAATATCAAACGTATCATCACAAAAAGTTTGGCATTAGGTTTTATGAGACTGTTTAAGAGCAGTGTCATAAGCACAGAAGTTTCAGGACAGTTTCTTCCTCACAGTACAAGTTTCGGTGCAGACAGCCCTGAGCTATTGGAGTGGAACACTTGGGGTGGGCTGGAGCGGCAGCCTAGCCCTCTATTTTGAAAGGGCTTCAGCTTTTAGCTGGTGTTCAATGACAACTTGTGCAGAGGAGTAGGGAACCTGATTCAGACACTAATCCCAGTTGGATTCTGTCCCTGCTGGCTGGCTAAATTTGAGGTCAGGCAGAGGGGTGGAGGCCAGAGGACCAGGGGATTCTGGAATGCTAGCTCTTTGTATTTGAGGAGTCCTTGCACCTGGACTCAGTGTCCAGGCTGTGGGTTTGTCTGTCTGTCTGTGCTTGCTTCTTCACCAGAGACCTCCCTATTGGATACCCTTTCCACCTGTGTCTCTTTCTCAACCCTCTTCCACCTCTCACCCACCGGCTCTCCCTGCAGTGAGCAGATACACTCAGAAGCTGAGGCAGCAACTGGGCCGGGACTCCAAGTTCATCCTGTGCTACGCGCAGAAGGAGGAGCTGTTGTTGGAGCAGATGTACACGGACACGGTGGTGGAGCTGGTCAACTTCAGCAACGAGAGCCTGGGCAGCCTGGACAGCCTGGCCTGCCTCCTGGATGCATCCACGGGCGTCCTCAACGAGGAGGGTGAGACCATTTTCGTGTCTGGCGATGCAGGCATGGGCAAGTCCATGCTCCTGCAGCGGCTGCAGAGCCTCTGGGCAGCGGGCCAGCTGGACCCAGGGATCAAGTTCTTCTTCCACTTCCGCTGCCGCACCCTCAGCTGCTTCAAGGAGAGCACGGCACTGTGTCTGCAGGACCTGCTCTTCAAGCATTACTGCTACCCAGAGCAGGACCCTGGGGAGGTTTTCGCCTTCCTGCTGCGCTTTCCCCACACGGCGCTCTTCACCTTCGACGGCCTGGACGAGCTGCACTCAGACTTCGACCTGAGCAGCGAGCCCGACACCTCCTCCCCTTGGGAGCCCGCCCACCCGCTGGCCCTGCTGGCCAGTCTGCTCAGTGGGAAGCTGCTCAAAGGGGCGCGCAAGCTGCTCACGGCGCGCACGGGCGTCGAGGTCCCGCGACATCTCCTCTGGAAGAAGGTGCTCCTGCGCGGCTTCTCCCCCAGCCACCTGCGCGCCTACACCGGGAGGATGTTCCCCGAGCGCGCCACGCGCCAGCGCCTGCTGGATCAACTGGAGGCCAACCCCAACCTCTGCAGCCTGTGCGCGGTGCCCCTCTTCTGCTGGATCATCTTCCGGTGCTTCCAGCACTTCCACGACGCCTTTGAGAGCTCCCCGCAGCTGCCTGATCTCACGGTGACGCTGACTGACGTCTTCCTGTTGGTCACCGAGGTCCACCTGAACAGGACGCAGCCCACCAGCCTGGTGCAGCAGAACACGCGGAGCCAGACGGAGACCTTCTGCGCCGGCCGGGACACCCTGTGCTCGCTGGGCCGGGTGGCTCACAGGGGCATGGAGAAGAGCCTCTTCGTCTTCAACCAGGATGAGGTGCAGGCGTCCGAGGTGCGGGAGGGGGACCTGCAACTGGGCTTCCTTCGGGCCGTGCCGGAGCTGGACCTCGGAGGGGAACAGGAGTCCTATGAGTTCTTCCACCTAACTCTCCAGGCCTTCTTCGCTGCCCTCTTTCTAGTGGTGGACGACAAGGTGGGCACTCGGGAGCTGCTAAGGTTCTTCCAGGAGTGGACTCCTCCCGGGGAGGCTGTGGCCACATCGACCTGCTATCCTCCTTTTCTCCCCATCCAGTGCCTGGGGGGCCACGGCCTGCATGGGGAAGACCCCTTCAAGAACAAGGATCACTTTCATTTCACCAACCTCTTCCTGTGCGGGCTGTTGTCCAAAGGCAAACAGAAACTCCTGCGGCATCTGGTGCCCGCCGCTGCTCTGCGGCGAAAACGCAAGGCCCTGTGGACTCACCTGTTTGCCAGCCTGCGCTCCCACCTGAAGAACCTGCCCCGGGTTCAGTCTGGGGGCTTCAACCAGGTGCAGGCCCTGCCTACCTTCATCTGGATGTTGCGCTGCATCTATGAGACGCAGAGTGAGAAGGTGGGGCAGCTGGCGGCCAGGGGCATCTGCGCCAACTACCTCAAACTGACCTTCTGCAATGCCTGCCCGGCTGACTGCAGTGCCCTCTCCTTCGTCCTGCACCACTTTCGCAAGCGGCTGGCGCTCGACCTGGACAACAACAACCTCAACGACTTCGGTGTGCGGGAACTGCAGCCATGCTTCAGTCGCCTCACTGTCATCAGGTGAAGCCACCAGGTTCAGGGAGCGGTTGGCAGGGCCGGGGCTCAGGTGACAGACCCCAGGACTAGGATCCTGGGGCTGGATTTCCTGGATTATCCTGGGACTCATGACCATGGATCTGGGAGCATCCGGACCTTCTCTGTCTCAGGGTGAAAGTGAAAGTCGTTCAGTCCTGTCCAACTCTTTGGGATGCCATGGACTATGTAGTCCATGGTGCAGGCCAGAATACTGGAGTGGGTAGACTTTCCCTTCTCCAGGGGATCTTCCCAACCCAGGGATTGAACCCAAGTCTCCCGCATTGCAGGCGGATTCTTTACCAACTAAGCCACAAGGGAAACCCACTCTCTCAGAGTGGCAGAGGGTGATGAGCAAAGCTTCCAAGTTAGATGGATGTGAATTGGCCCTGACTGGGTGTCCTTGAGCAAGTTGCTTAACTTCTTTGAAGTTTCAGTGTCCTCATTCAGAAAAAGGAGTTTGTTATATCCTAGCAATTACAGTACTAACAATCAGCATTTATTGAGAATGAGTAAAGGGCTTTACAAATATTACCTGGCTTAATCCTCTCAACATCTCTGTAAGAGTTGTTGAGTCGCTCAGTTGTGTCCAACTCTGTGACCCCATGGACTGCAGCACACTAGATCTCCATTTTGGCAAATGAGGAGGCAGAGGCACAGAGAAGTTGTTCAGGGTCACACATAGGGGCCATTGTGGAGCCAGCATCATAAAGAACCTTCCTTTTGAGATTTATGTGAGGCTCAGAGATAACCTGTGAAAAGTTTCTGACACATGAAAAATTTTATAAAGGCAAAAAAAAGACTTTGTGCTTATTAGCATTAATTTCTACCGAAAAAGCTGGCAGCCCTGAGCAGCAAAGGATCTCAGTAAAGAATGCTGACTCTTAGTTTCCTGTTTGATGGTTTAGAGGAAAGAAAAACCAATCAGTCTTCTTTCTTCTATTAGCATCTTGTATTAAATACACCTTGTAAATCTCTACGGGGGTTTCAGTTCTCTACTACTTGGCTCATGCATTCCTGAAGAGCAGAAGGGATTTGGAACTGATTCCAAGTACCAGTTACACCAGCACCAGAGTGTACATTGTGCAGGGATGGGTGGATGTAGGGAGCCCAAGCCTGTGTTGGCCTGGGAATTGAAAAGTCTGGAATCTGTTCTCTGAGCTCTCAGCCAGCAACTCTCTGTATGCAACCTCAGGCAATGTTACATTCAGTGCCTCCCTGTGCCCATTTCATAAGATGGAAATGCTGCACCAGTATGATGGTCCCATAGTTTGCCTCCAGACAGCAAAAGACAAAACAGGAAGAAATGGACCACCCTAAGGAAGCATTTTGAGCTCCCTGAGGGCATCAGTGAGGATTAGTTTTGGCTGAGAGTTAGAGAAAACTCACAATACTGGTGGACTTTCCAGGTGGTGCTAGTGGTGAAGAATGCTTCTGTCAATGCAGGAGACACAAGAGACACAGTTTCCATCCCTGGGTTGGGAAGATCCCTTGGAGTAGGAAATGGCAACCCACTCCAGTATTCATGCTTGGAAAGTCCCATGGACAGAGGAGTCTGGCGGACTACAGTCCTTGGGCCTGCAGAAAGTCGAGTGTGACTGAGCACCAAGCACCACCAAAATACTGATGGCTTAGATAAGTTATAAGCTTGTTTGTTTCTCATGACAGAGTTTAAAGACGGGCAGTTTAGGGCTGCTATGATATCTCCGTGACCACCAGCCTTGGCTGTCTTTTGCCTCACTGCTCTGTTGTCTTCTCTATCTGACTGCCAACTCCTGGCCCAAAATGGCTGCTTAAGCTCCAGCCATTCAGTTGACATTCTAGTCACCAAGAGGAACAAAAGGCAAAGGACAAACCCCATTCTTCTTTTGGTAAATTTATTTTATTGAAGTATAGTTGATTTACAATGTTGTATTCATTTCTGCTGTATAGCAAAGTGATTCAGTTACATATTTTTTTCATATTCTTTTTTCCACTATGATTTATCACAGGATATTGAATATAGTTCCCTGTGCTATGCAATAGAACCTTACTGTTTATCCATTATGTATATTAATAGTGGTATCTGCTAATCCCGAATTCCCAATGTATCCCTACCCCATCCCACCCTTCCCCTTGGCAACCATAAGTCCCTTCTCTATGTCTGTGAGTCTGTTTCACAGATAAGTTCATTTGTGTTATATTTTAGATCCCACACATAAGTGATATCATATGGTATTTGTCTCTTTCTGACATTTCATTTAGTGTGATAATCTCTAGTTGCATCATGCTGCTGCAAATGGCATTATTTCATTCTTTTTTATGGCTGAGTAGTATTCCATCATATATGTGTACCACATCTTCTCTATTCATTTATCTGTTGATGGACATTTAGCTTGTTCCCACGTCTTGACTATTGTGAATAGTGCTGGTCTGAACACAGGGGCTTATCTTTAATTATAGTTTAGGACACATCCCATTCTTTTTTTTTTATTTTTTTTTATTTTTTATTTACTTATTTATTTTTTTTTAATCACAACCATAGTGTATCTTTTTTTTTTTTTTTTTACATGTATTCCCCATCCCGGTCCCCCCTCCCACCTCCCTCTCCACCCAATCCCTCTGGGTCTTCCCAGTGCACCAGGCCCGAGCACTTGTCTCATGCACCCAACCTGGGCTGGTGAACTGTTTCACCCTAGATAATATACGTGTTTCAATGCTGTTCTCTTGAAACATCCCACCCTCGCCTTCTCCCAGAGTCCACAAGTCTGTTGTATACATAGGAGTCTCTTTTTCTGTTTTGCACATAGGGTCATTCTTTTAAGAAAACTTCTCAGCCACTGCTAATGAGAATTCTGCTTAGATTTCACCGGACAGAAGTTAATCATGTGTGCCCAGCTAAAACATGGGAGATTCTGTTTCTAAGTAAGCATGAATATTGGGAGTGACTAGTGGGCTCTGGGATAGTCCTGCAGTGTTTGTATACACTGTGCCCCATCACCAAGGTGAGTGGCATGAGTGGGAAGGATCCAGAGTGTCTGACATGATCATTCTGATTAGCCTAAAAATCAAGTTTTTACCACTTTAGCCTCTTGTTAATTACAGAGGACAGCTTGTAGCGCAGTTTGGCCCAAGGCTTGTGTTTTAGATAAAGTCTTACTGGAACAGAGTCACACTCATTTATTGACATACCGACTGCTTCATTCTGCAGAGCTGAGTGGTTACCATAGAGATCAGGTGGCTCTCGGAGCCTAAAATTTTCTATCTGACCCTTCATAGAAAAAAATTGCTGAGCTCTGGTCTGTTATCTCACCCACTCTTGACCCTTACCTTGTCCCTCACAGTCCTCCATCTCTGAGCTTTAGTCCATCCCTCAGTTCAGTTCAGTTGCTCAGTCGTGTCCAACTCTTTGCAACCCCATGAACCACAGCACACCAGGCCTCCCTGTCCCTCACCAACTCGTGGAGTTTACCCAAACTCATGTCCATTGAGTTGGTGATGCCATCCAACCATCTCATCCTCTGTTGTCTCCTTCTCCTCCTGCCTTCAATCTTTCTCAGCATTGGGGTCTTTTCCAATGAGTCAGCTCTTCACATCAGGTGGCTAAAGGATTGGAGTTTCAGCTTCAGCATCAGTCCTTTCAATGAACACCCAGGACTGATCTCCCTTAGAATGGACTGGTTGGATCTCCTTGCAGTCCAAGGGATTCTCAAGAGTCTTCTCCAACATCACAGTTCAAAAGGATCATTTCCTCGACACTCAGCTTTCTTTACAGTCCAACTCTCACATCCATACATGACTACTGGAAAGACCATAGCTTTGACTAGACAGACCTTTGTTGACAAAGTAATGTCTCTGCTTTTGAATATGCTTTCTAGGTTGATCATAACTTTCCTTCTAAGGAGTAAGCGTCTTTTAATTTCAGGGCTGCAATCACCATCTGCAGTGATTTTGGAGCCCCCCAAAATAAAGTCTGACACTCTTTACCCATCTATTTGCCATGAAGTGACAGGACCGGATGCCATGATCTTAGTTTTCTGAATGCTGAGCTTTAAGCCAACTTTTTCACTCTCCTCTTGCACTTTCATCAAGAGGCTCTTTAGTTCTTCTTCACTTTCTGCCATAAGGGTGGTATCATCTGCATATTTGAGGTTATTGATATTTCTCCCAGCAATCTTGATTCCAACTTGTGCTTCTCCCAGCCCAGCGTTTCTCATGATGTACTCTGCACATAAGGTAAATAAGCAGGGTGACAATATACAGCCTTGACGAACTCCTTTTTCTATTTGGAACCAGCCTGTTGTTCCACGTCCAGTTCTAACTGTTGCTTACCTGTTGCATAACCTGTTCCATACAGGTTTCTCAAGAGGCAGGTCAGGTGGTCTGGTTTTCCCATCTCTTTCAGAATTTTCCACAGTTTATTGTGATCCACACAGTCAAAGGCTTTGGCATAGTCAATACAGCAGAAATAGATGTTTTTCTGGAACTCCCTTGCTTTTTCGATGATCCAGCAGATGTTGGCAATTAGATCTCTGATTCCTCTGCCTTTTCTAAAACCAGCTTGAACATCTGGAAGTTCTCGGTTCACATGCTATTGAAGACTGGCCTGGAGAATTTTGAGCATTACTTTACTAGCGTGTGAGATGAGTGCAATTGTGCGGTAGCTTGAGCATTCTTCGGCACTGCCTTTCTTTGAGATTGGAATGAAAACTGACCTTTTCCAGTTCTGTGGCCACTGCTGAGTTTTCCAAATTTGCTGACATATTGAGTGCAGCACTTTCACAGAATCATCTTTTAGGATTTGAAATAGCTTAACTGGAATTCCATCACCTCCACTAGTTTTGTTCATAGTGATGCTTCCTAAGACCCACTTCACCTCATATTCTAGGATGTCTGGCTCTAGGTGAGTGATCACACCATCATGATTATCTGGGTTGTGAAGCTATTTTTTGTACAGTTCTTCTGTGTATTCTTGCCGCCTCTTAATATCTTCTGCTTCTGTTAGGTCCATACCATTTCTGTCCTTTATTGAGCCCATCTTTGCATGAAATGTTCCCTTGGTATCTCTAATTTTCTTGAAGAGATCTCTAGTCTTTCCCATTCTGTTGTTTTCCTCTATTTCTTTGCATTGATCACTCAGGAAGGCTTTCTTATCTCTCCTTGCTATTCTTTGGAACTCGCATTCAAATGGGTATATCTTTCCTTTTCTCCTTTTCTCCATTCCATCTCTTGGACTCATCTAAATGAAGGGGTGGAGGATTGAGAAGATCAGGGCAGTTTGTTAAAGAGATTCCTTGGCAGTAAAACGAAAAATTCTGCATTTTGGCCAAATCATAATATCCAGCTAGTATAGTGCTTTTGAAGAGCAATTTCAGTATGCAGCTGGCCCTTGTCCAAGAGTTATCCATCATCCCAAGGCCCTCTTTTCCTGCCCCCTCTCAAAGCTTGGCCTGCTCCAAGCAGCACTGGCATTAAAGAGGAATGGGAGAGTGTGGCTGCCAAGGCCTGCCTTGTTTGACTGTTTCTCCCTTGCCATTGAACTTCCCACAGAGAACCACACCACAGGAGCTGTCTCCCTTGACTCGCCTTTTCAGGTGGCAAGGCAGGTGTAGCACGTGCATTTCCAGATGGAAAGGCTCTTGGCATTTTGGATGGAACATTCCATCCATCCATCCTGTCTTGCCTTTTGCAGGACCCCTAACATCTCTGGCCCCACTTGCAAGATAATGGATCATCCTTGCCCCCACCCTCATAACCACTAAATGCAGCTACATGTGCTTCCAAATCCCATAGTCCCTTATGAACAGTGAGAGCCACATCGACACAGAGGCCCCTAGCAACTGCAGGATATCAGAGGGGGCTGGCCACATGTGTCCTTCGGGTGTCCCTCGTAGCCCTTGGTTGCATCAGAGCTGTGCTGTAGCCTTGTCAGTGGGCTGATTCTGGTGGGTCTCTTAGCCCCCATGAAGACCAGGTCCTATGAGGGGCCATTTGACTGGCTACTATGACCACTCTCTCGGGGGGTATTTATAGCTGGGAAAACTGCAGGACCTATAAGCTTCAGAACCTTGTGGAATTAATGTTCTTTCACAGTGAGAAGCTGCTCTGATTCTTAAATTTTTTTACTGTTTTTTTCAGACTCAGTGTGAACCAGATCACTGACAGTGGGGTGAAGGTGCTATATGAAGAACTGACCAAATACAAAATTCTGACATTTTTAGGGTATGTATTTCTCAAGAACACTGGGACAGCTATGTAGTAAGAATAGAGAGTAGCAGGAAATTGCCCTTCCCATGGATCACTGGATGGTTGAGACTGATGGCCCCAGACACCAGGAAAAGCACTGGACTGGGAGCCAGGAATCCTGGGTCCTGGTTTTGGTTCAGCCAGCAGCTCAGTCTTTGAGAAAGTCAGGAAATCTCACTGAACGCAGCCCTCTCATCCCCCTTGTGTAATTGGGATCCTAATATAGGCATATAGTTTTACAGGTGGTGATTGAGAGATGTAATGGCTGCATACCTTGGGATGTGTCTTGTGAACATGAGAATACTGTTTATGCGGTAGATTTCACTACTGTGGGTCCGTGATCTGATGTCCTTGGAGCATGACACGAATCAGAAATCTGTTCCTACTACCTAGCAGTGTCATGACTAGTGGGCTCCAGGGAAATACCCCATTTTCAGATACTTTAATTTCTGCAGCAAAATGTAGAAACAGTCAAACCAGTTGAGATAAAGACCATGAACAGCATCACATTGGTTGCCAAAATAATTATGGAGAAGTTTGGGTTTGGGGAGCCTTTGGGATCTTGGAGTTTGAGATGAGGGGCTGTGGGTCAGCCTGGCCAGCCCCATGGTGGCTGTGGACTCTGTGAGCTGGAGCCAGCCTGTCAGCTTCTTGGGGCCTCGGTTTTCTCAGCCATCATGTGAGGACACTGAAGCACTCAATCCCAGGTTGCCTTTTGGCTCTGGAGTTCTGGGTGACCATGGAACACTGGAAACCTGTCTGCCTGCCACTTTCAACCTCATTGCTGAATTAGTATCAAGTGGTGAACTGACTAAAAGGCAGACACTGAGGTGGTTCCAATGGTCAGAAAGTGTTATCCCTCAAGATTATCCCTTAACCTCAAAGTGCCCCCCTGCCCGCCATTTATTGAGCACTTACACGCAAGAGCTTGGAATGATCTCGCATGATCCTCGTAACAGTCCTGTGAGGAGCTGTAAACCTTACCCCCTGCATTACAGATGCAGAAACTAACGCACAGAGAGGCTGGGTGCGTTGTCCCAGGTCATAAAACTGGGGAAACTGGCAGTGTTGGCCTTGACCCCGGCCTGTGAGACCCCTGAGCCCCAAACTCTGGTCTCCACGTGCCCTTCCTTTCTCCTTTTGACCCAGACTCTGGACATCAGCAGACAGCACTTACTCACTTTAAAACAATGGAGTCATAAATTCTCATGGCCGTGCTTTCTCTCGAAGCTTGTACAACAACCAAATCACTGATGTCGGAGCCAGGTACATCGCCAGAATCCTGGATGAGTGCAAAGGCCTCACACACCTGAAGTAAGTGGGGTGGATGCAACGGGGTCTTCAGCAGCTTCTCTTGGTCACCTGTTGTTGTTCAAGCAAAGAATAAATGTCACGCTAGAGTTGCCTTCTGCTTGCCCCAGGGCCATATAGTTCAGATCAGGACATCTGTCTGGTGAACTGTGGGTGAGGCTCAGAGTTTGGAAGGGTGTGGGAGGATCCTGAGGGGAAAAGCCCTACCGTGGGTTGGGGGGAGAGCCTGGCATTTTGGTTTCATTAACTCCTGATGGGAGAAAGGCCACAACTGCCACCCTTTCTGGAGGTCTTTTTCCCCTGAGGAAGTTCCTCATTATCTTAGTCCATCTAGCTTTTGTAACAAAATAACATTCCCAGGTGGCACTAGTGGTAAAGAACCCGCCTGCCAATGCAGGAGACAAAAAAGACTCAGGTTTGATCCCTGGGTTGGAAAGATCCCTTGCAGGAGGGCATGGCAACCCACTCCAGTATTCTTGCCTGGAGAATCTCATGGACAGGGGAGCCTGGTGGGCTACAGACCATAGGGTCTCAAAGAGTCAGACATAATTGAGGCAACTTAGCATGCATGCATGAACACCGGGGATTTCTTTCTCACAGTTCTGGGGGCTGGAGAGTCTAAGATTAATGTGCCAGAAGATTAGGTGCCTGGTGAGGGCCCAATTCCTGGTTCTTAGATAATGCCTTCTTGCTGCGTCCTCACATGGTGGTGGAAAAGGAGAGGGAGCATTCTTGGACTTCACTTATAAGTCACTAATCCCATTTGTGAGGGCTGTGATGCATGACCTTATCACTTCCCAAAGGCCCTATCTCCTAGTATCCTAATATCTAGGGGTTAGGATTTCAACATATAGATTCTGGTGGGGTGAGGGAGACAAACATTCAGGCCACAGCCATCTAGTTGCAGGCAACATTTGGACCTTGGCTGTGTCATAGAAAATGTCCTGCTAAAGATGTCAGAGCACCAGGCTTGGAGGAGCCCCTGGTGCTGCTCTGGTGACGGGACCCTAGCCCTTGACCATTTGCAGTTGAAGTGGGAACCATCTAGTCTGCTAATGGAAAGATGTGATGCTGGGAGGTCATTTAAAGAATCTGTGGGAGAACTCAGGTCCCTTAGCTTCTGCAGAGATTGCGTTTCCTGGAGAGGTATGCTGACTCACTTTCTGACTCACTCAGAGCTTCAGGCCCCTTCCCGAGGGGAAGCCCAGGGAAGGCTGCTGTGGGTCCCAGGAGAGAGACCATCCATCCTAAGAGGACCCCAGGGAGCTCTGTGCCAAGCATGAGGGTGGCTAATGCTAGAGATCCCTCACAGCTGGAGCTGATGTGTGCGTGACTGTCTCTGCAGATTGGGAAAAAACAAAATAACAAGCGAAGGAGGAAAGTGTCTCGCTCTGGCTGTGAAGAACAGCAAATCCATCTTTGAAGTTGGGTGAGTAGAGGCGAATGCACGTGGGTGTTTGTATACGACCTGCTGTGTGTACGGGAGTGCTAGCTGGACTGTAATTTTCCTTTTTTGTGGTATTTTTGTCTGGTTATGGTATCAAGATGATGGTGGCTTCATGGAGTGAGTTTGGGGGTTTTCCTTCCTCTTCAATATTTTGGAACAGTTTCAGAAGGATAGGTGTTTACTGTTTTCTGAATGTTTGGTGTAATTTGCCTATGAAGCTATCAGGTCCCGGCCTTTTGTCTGCTGAGAGTGTTTCAGTGCTTGCAACTGGCCAGTTCATATCTTCTATTTCTTCCTGGTTTAGTCTTGGGAGCTTGTACCTTTCTAAGAATTTGTCCACTTCTTCTAGATTGTCCATTTTATTGGCATATAGTTACTCGTAGTAGTCTCTTATGATCCCTTGTATTTCTGTACTGTTCATTGTATCTTCTTTTTCATTTCTAATTTTATTGATTTGGGCCCTCTCCCTTTATTTCTTGATGACTCTGGCTAAAGGTTTATCAATTTTGTTTATCTTTTCAAAGAACTAGCTTTTCGTTTCATTGACCTTTGCTATTGTTTTGTCTTTGTTTAATTTATTTCTGCTCTGATGTTTATGATTTTTTCCTGCCTACTAACTTTGAGCTTTGTTTGTTCTTTCTCTGTTTGCTTTAGGTGTAAGTTTAGGTTGTTTATTTGAGATTTTTCTAATTTCCTGAGGTAAGATTATATTGCTATAAACTTCCTTCTTAGAACGACTTTTGCTGCATTCCATAGGTTTTTGATTGTTGTGCTTTTTGTTTTCATTTGTCTCTAGGTATTTTTTTAATTTCCTCTTTGATTTCTTCAGTGATCTGCTGTTTTTTTAGTAGCATATTGTTTGTTGTTGTTTAGTCTCTAATTTGTGTCCAGCTCTTTTGCTTCCCCGTGGACTGTAGCCCACCAGGCTTCTCTGTCTAGGATTTCACAGGCAAGAATACTGGAGTGAGTTGTCATTTACTTCTCCAGGGGATCTTCCCAACCCAGGGATCAAACCCATGTCTCTTGCTTTGGAAGACAGATTCTTTATCACTGAGCCACCTAGAAAGCCCAGCATATTGTTTAGCTTCCACATTTTTTCTTTTTTACAATTATTTTATTTAGGTCATTTCTAATGTCATAGCATTGTGGTTGGAAAAGATGCTTAACAAGATTTCAGTTTTCTTAAATTTACTGAGGCTTGCTTTATGGCCCAGCATGTAATCAATCCTGGAGAATGTTCCATGTGCACTTGGTAAGAATGTGTATCCTGCTGCTTTTGGATGGAATGCTCTATAAATTAAGTTCATCTGGTCTAATATGTCATTTAAGGCCTGTGTTTCCTTATTTTCTTTCTGAATGACCTGTCCATTGATGTAAGTGGGGTATTAAAGTCCCCTGCCATTATTGTGGTACTGTTGATTTCTCCTTTTCTGGCTGTATTTGCCTTATATATTGTGGTGCTCCTATATTTTATTTTGCGTACATATATATTTACAGTTGTTATATTTTCTTGAATTGATCCCTTGATCATTATGCAGTGTCCTTCTTTGTTTCTTGTAAGAGTCTTTAAAGTCTATTTTGTCTGATAGGAGTATTGCTACTCCAGCTTTCTTTTGATTTGTATTTGCATGGAATGCCCTTTTCCATCCCCTCACTTTCAGTCTGTATGTGTCCTAGATCTAAAATGGGCCCATTGTAGACAGTGTGTGTGTGTGTGTGTGTGTGTGTGTATGTCTTGTACCCCATTTAGCCAGTCTGTGTCTTTTGGTTGGGGCATTTAATCCATTCACATTTAAGGTAATTATCAATATATATTTTTATTGCCATTTTGTTAATTTTTTGGAATTTGTTTTTGTAGGTCTTTTTTCTTTTCTTCCTCTTTTGACCTCTTGTGACTTGGTGACTGAGTGTAGTGTTGTGTTTGGCTTCCTCTTTCTTTTTTGTGTATGGATCAATTGTAGATTTCAGTTTGTTATTACCATGAGGTTTTGATACAGCAGTCTGTATATAAACAAGATTGTTTTAAGTTTCTGATCTCTTAATTTCAAGTGCATTTCCAGTATTCTGCATTTATATTCTCCTCATGGTTGCTGGTTTTGATATCATATTTGTGTGTGGATGATATCCTACCTTTATGTATGTTTGATTATACTGGTAAGCATTTCCATTCATGATTTTCTTGTTTCTAGTGTGGCCTTTTCTTTTCACCTAGAGAAGTTCCTTTAGCATTTGTCGTAGAGCTGCTTTAGTGATGATGAATTCTCTTAGCTTCTGCTTGTCTGTAAAGCGCTTGATTTCTCCGTCAAATCTGAACGAGAGCTTTGCTGCGTAGAGTATTCTTGGTTGTAGGTTCTTCCCACTCATCACCTTAAACATATCATGCCAATCTCTTCTGGCCTGCAGAGATTCTGCTGAGAAATTGGCTGATAACCTTATGAGAGTTCCCTTGTATGTTGTTTTTCTCTTGTTGCTTTTAACATTTTTTTGTCTTTAATATTTGTCAGTTTGATTACTGTGTCTCGGTGTGTTCCTCCTTGAATTTATCCAGCATGGGACTTTGTGCTTCCTGGACTTGGGTGACTGTTTCCTTCCCCGTATTGGGGAAAATTTCAGCTATTATCTCTTCAAATATGTTCTCAGGTCCTTTCTCTGTCTCTCCTCCTTCTGGGACCCCCACAATGCAAACGTTGTTGCATTTTATGTTATCCCAGAGGTCTCTTGGACTGTCCTCATTTCTTTTCATTCTTTTTTCTTTATTCTGTTTTGTGGCAGTCTTCATTTTGTCTAACTTTCTGTGACTGCAGTTTCTATTCCACAGGCTGCAGGGTTGTAGTTCCTTTTGCTTCTGCTGTCTGTCCCCTCATGGGTGGAGCTGTCTGAGAGGCTTGTGCAGGCTTCCTGGAGAGTGAGACTAGTTCCCATGCACTGGGTAGAGCTGGGTCTTGTCCCTGTGGTAGGCAGAGCTGTGTCGGGGGGTTTGCTGAGTGGGCAGTTGTATGGTCAGGAAAACTTTAGGTAGCCTGTCCGCTAAGGGTGGGGCTGTGTTCCCACATTGTTGGTTGGTGGTGCTGGTGGACCCAGGGTGACCCAGCACTAGAGCCTACAGGTTATTGTGTGGGGCCAGATTTTGGTGAAAAAATGGTGGCTTCCAGGAAGGCTCATGCTAATGAGTACTCCCAAGAACTACCATCATCAGTGTGTTTGTCCCCACAGCAAGCCACAGCCACCCTGCCTTTGCAGGAGACTCTCCAATATAAGCAGGTAGGTCTGGCCTAGGCTCTTCTGAGGTCACTGCTTTTCCCCTGGGTTGGCGCACACAAGATGTTCTGTGTGCCCTCCAAGAGTGGAGTTTCTGTCTCCCCCGGTTCAGTGGACTTCTTGTGATCAAACCCCACGGGCTTGCAAAGGCAGATCCTCTGGGACCTCCTCCTCCCGTTGCCAGACCCCCGGGCTGAGGAGCCCGATACGGGGCTCAGGAATTTCACTTTTGCGGGAGAACTTCTGTGGTAGAATTTTCCAGTTTGTGGGTCACTCACTTGGGAGGTTTGGAATTTGATTTCATCATGATTATTCCCCTCATACTCCCTTGCTGTGGCTTCTATGGATGTGGCATATCTTTTTTGGTAGGTTCCACCATTTGCTGCTGCTAGCTGTTCAGCACTTAGTTGTGATTTTGGTGTTTTCATAAGAAGAGGTGAGTTCACATCCTTCTAATCCACCATCTTGTCTCTGCCTCCCCTCTCTGGAGGCTTTTTTAATTTAATTTTTAATTGAAAATACATGTAACATAAAATTTACCATCTTAACCATTTTAAGTGTACAGTTTGATACACTTAAAAATTAAGTATATTCATATAGTCATGTAACCACCATTATTATCCATTTCCAGAACTCTCTTTATCTTGTAAAACAGAAACCCTATACCCATGAAACAGTAATTCCCCATTCTCCCCTCCCCTCAGCACTTGGCAACCACCTTTCTACTGTCTGTCCCCTGTACATTCAACTACTGTAGGTAGTCATGTTAAGTGGAGTCATGCCGTATTTGTCCTTTTGTGACTTTTACTTAGCATTAGGTTCTCAAGGTTTATCCATGTTGTAGCATGTATCAGACTTTACTTCTTTTTAAAGGCTGTATAATAGTCCATTCTATGTTCATACCACATTTTGTTTATCCATTAATCTACCAGTGAACACTTGGGTTATTTCTACCTTTTAGCTCTTGTGAATAATGCTGCTATTGACATGGGTGTACATATATCTCTTTGAAGCCCTGATTTCAATTCTTCTGGGTATATACCCAGAAGTGGAATTGCTAGATCACATGACAATTCTATTTTTACTTTTTTGAGGAACCACCATATTGTTTTCTACAGCACCTGTAGAATTTTACATTCCTACTAACAGTGCATAAGGGTTCCAATTTCTCCACATCCTCACAAACACTTGTTATTTCCTGGTGTTTTCATAGTAAGCATTCATATGGGTGTGAGGTGATACCTCATTATGGTTTTGATTCAGGAGACTATTTAAAGCTTTTCATAGTTACAGTTTTCCCCTGATTTAAAAGAAACATAGATAATTTTATTTGTAAATTATGGAAATATGAAAAGTATAATAGAGATCCTCTTCTCAAAAATAATTGTTATCAACCCTAGATGTCAGTTAAGCTTTCTTGATCTCCCTTATGCAATATGTGCCCTCTCTGTTTTATTTTAATATTGTAGACGTCAAACCATCTGTACAGAATTTTACTCTGCTTTTCTTTGCTTAATCTCATGTCATGAGTAGTTTTCCACTTTATTAAAAGTTTGATACTTTGCAGTTATATTCACACACTTTTTATGCAAAATGCCGCAAACTCTCATGCTGGGGTTTTACAAGCCATACTGCCAGAGACATCAGCAAGCCACTTGCCTGGAGAGAGCATGGCTGAGGCAGCTTTGGTTGTGTTGTGGTGGGCCCAGCAGACTTGCTTTCTGCAGACAGTGACCCTCAGTCTTTTAGAAATAGCTGACTCTTATATGCTCAGCACTGTTGTGAGTGCTTTGCATATGTTAACTCACTTCATCCACACAACTCTATGAGGAAATGCTCTTCTTATTCCTGCTTTCAGACGAGGAGTCTAAGGCCTAAGAGACTACACCCCACCCAAGCACGCATAGGTGGTGGGGGCAGGGCCAGGTTGGGAACCCAGTGTCTTACCATACAGACCCTTCATTTAGCCAGATCCTCTTAAGGTTTTCTGCTTTGGGGAAGGGAATACGGTTTGTCATTGCAACTCCCCACCCAGACTACAACAACCTGAATGGCATGGTTTGGTCATGTCCTCTTTACACACCAGGAAAATTGCTGATTAAGTTTCTCAGTGTGTTTATTGATATTTGCTTTATGCACGACTGACTTTGCTTTCAGGAACATGTGTCACTCCTGCTCAGGATCAAATGGATATTGGTCAAGCTTCCTTTCAAGCTCTTGTCAACCTGTATATCCTGAGGGTGACATTTCGGCGATGGTAGTGAGCTTAGGTTCTGACAGCTCTCCAAAAACTCAGGGGCTCAGACTTGGTTTCTAATTGTGTCTGACTTATGCTCACAAGGCTTTTACTGGTTTTGTTCCTCCAGAGCAGCTCACTAACAGGCTGGTGGAGGGATGCATCTCCAGGCCACAGCTCCAGAGATGGAGCAGAGACATCTGCCTGTTGAGATTACACGGCATCTCCTGTGGCCATGAGTAGAAAATAAGGGGATGAGCTTGAGGTAACTTTTACTGTCTCGCCTCTGCCCGCAGGATGTGGGGCAATCAAATCGGTGATGAAGGAGCAAAGGCCTTCGCAGAGGCTCTGAGGAATCACCCCAGCTTGACCAACCTGAGGTAACTGCTGCTTTCTGAGACCCACTGTCTTCAGGGCCAACCTGGTCACTCGGTGCACCTCGTGATTTACTAGGGGAGGAACCAAGGGGAAGAGGGTGGCCAACATTCCTAACAGCGAAGGTATTTGTGTGTGTGGTTTTACTTTTTCAGAACATTTTTATTGACACAGAAGATAGGCATACAGTAAAGTACATCATGGTTAAGTTTTCAGCTCCAGAATGTGACATGTGCACATACCCCATATCAGACATGGGACACTGCCTGCCCCTTGGCAGTCTGCATGTGCCCGTTGGGGGTTGGGGAGGAATTCTTCAGTCCAAATAAAACTGGGACACTGGGCAGCTTATTTCTGCCCCATCTTCATTCTCAGGATGGTGCTGGAAAAAGAGGGGACCTTTCCTCTCTGTAAACAGACTGGGTCCTTCCCAGCCCTCCTTTAGATCTCCAGCTGAATCCCTGAGACCTGGGTGTCTCTTGATTGCCTGTGTTCTTGCTGTCACTTACGGAGAGTCTCCTTCTATGGTAGGAGCAGTAGCAGAATTCCTTCCTTATGAGAACAGAGATTTCTCTAGGCCTCACTGATGTGTGCCTGTAAGGTGTCAGCATGCAAAGCAAAGCTTGCCAAGCCACTTCAGCCCGCTGTGGGCACTGTGACCAGATCTGGCCCATGTTTCATTTCCCTTCTGGCCTGTCCTCATGGTCTGAACCTGGGCTCTGGAGCAACAAAGCTCGAGCGGCTGCTAGCGCAGCTGAGCCCTTCTGCTGCTTGCTTTGAGTCCACCTGGGCAGGGCCACCTCCTGGCGAGTCTTTCCAGCTGCTTTAGTTGCTGAGTGTTAGTCTCTCAGTTGTGTCCGGCTCTTTCTGACCCCATGGACTGTAGCCTGCCAGGCTCTTCTGTCCATGGAATTCTCCAGGCAAGAAAATTGGAGTGGGTTGCCATGCCTTCCTCTGGGGGATCTTCCCCACCCAGGTATCAAACGTGGTTCTCCCACAATTCAGGCAAATTCTTTACCATCTGAGCTACCAGGCCAAAGGCAAATGTAGACATGTTTTTAATAACCTTCTCCCAATGTTTTTCCTTCCTAGTCTTGCATTCAATGGCATCTCTACAGAAGGAGGAAAGAGCCTCGCATTGGCCCTGCAGCAGAATACATCTCTGAGAATATTCTGGTAATAACCAGAGTCATTTTGAAAGGTTGGGGCTTGGGGATTTTTCCAAAGACTGTGCACAGCGTAGAATCTTAACTGAAAGGCTGCCTCTGAATTGAGAAGCCTCTGTGCTGTGCTTAGTCGCTCAGTCATGTCCAACTCTTTGCGACCCCATGGGCTGTAGTCCACCAGCCTCCTCCGTCTATGGGATTCTCCAGGCAAGAATACTGGAATGGGTTGCCACGCCCTCCCCCAGGGCATCTTCCCAACCCAGGATCAAACCCACGGCTCCCGCATGGCAGGCAGATTCTTTACAATGAGTCACCAGGGAAGCCTGAAAATTGAAAAGGCTCTAGGCCTTTCCTCAAAGGAAGGTTTATCATTTAATTTCCTCTTGGAGAAGATAGTCATTCCCAGAAGCACAGACAAGTACAGAATGGGTGGAATGGGCCCTAGGAGCCTGAGTTTGAAACCGTAGCCTTCTTGGCCACTGCGGGCCTCAGGTAAATTAGAAGGCTAGCTATTCTTCCTGTCAGGATATCTATGGAACACCCCCAGATATGCCTTGAAGGGTCCAACTTTCACATACTTGTTTGAATGTTCTCCCTTCTTCCTCTTACACTGCCTTTCTCCTATGCAGCCTCTTCCTTCCCCAGCTAGTCACATCAGGAGTTGCCCTTCATGCTCCTGCTCACCTGTCACGGGAAGTCCACAGTCCTCACTCCTCTCTGCGTTCCAGGGCCACTCATTAAGTGGATGTTACCTTCTGAAAGTGCTCCTTTTTTTTGGTTCTTCTTTTTTTTGGCCATTTACCATATTTTAATTTTACTTACTTGCCTTACTTACTTAACTTACTTGCAAAAAAGTATTTTACTTACTTGCCTGTATCATAAATTGCTTCCAGGTGAGGAAGTTATATTACATGTCTCCATATCCTCCTCATGAGATATTGGTTAAATTAGTTAATGTAAATATCATCATTGTGAGAATTCTGACACTACACCTGCTGCCCAATAAGTTCATTTCCCTTTTCTCTTCAAAAAATCTCTCAAAAACTTTTGAAAAGTGAAAAACATACTTTTTGGAAAAAAAAAAATATGATACTGAAGTCTGGAAAGTAGGAAGTGAAAGTACCTCCCCTTTCATGTTTCCTAAATATAATCTTCTATTTCTAGCTTTTGAATGTATATTCAAATAAATATCCCTTTTCTTACAAAATAGAATTTAGCAAGTGGCTTAAAAAACATCTCAGCCATATATTGTACATATTTTGTATGTCCTTTTATGTCAGGATCTCTCAGCCTCAGCACTGTTTTGACATTTTGGTCCAAATATTTCTTTTTTGTTGAGAGGCTGTCCTGTGCATTGTAAGATATTCAGCAGAACCCCTGGTCTTTGCCCATTAGATACTCTGTAGTGACCCCTAATTGTGACAATCAAAATTGTCTCCAGACATTGGCAAGTGTCTCTGGATGGAAATTAACCCCGGTTGAGACTCACAGCTCTAGGTGGTTAATAATTTCAGTCCCCAGAATCTCTTGAGTACTGACCATACATACATCATGCATTGTTCGCAGTCTTTTTCGTACTGTAACTCATTCTCACAACCATGCAAGGAGGGTTGTACCATTACTGTTAACATTTACTGATGGGAAAACTCAGGCCCAAAGTTCAACCACCTGCTGCGGTCACCCTGCTAGTAAGCGATTCCCAGCTGGTCTGACTCAAGAGCATCTTTAAGTGTTCTTTAGCCTCTTTCTTCATCCTACCTCAGTCTCTCTAAAGGCTGCACACTCACAACTTTATTTTTCCAACTGCCTCTATTGATACTGAAATTTGTTCACATCTTACATTATGACCAAAAAAGACTGCAATCAGTACTGCATGTATAGAAACCTGTGTGTAATGTCTTTGCACACCATAAGGTCAATTTCTGGAAGTCTAATCATTGGTCCAAAGTGAAACACATTTAAAATTTGGATAGACACTACCAAATTGCCCTTCAAGGAATGATTTTTTAATTTTTTTCTATTCGCCTTTATTTATTCTTTCATTCACTGGCACAACAGGGTTTAATCCTCTTTACAACCAGGAGCTTCTCACCCTCTCTGCTTTACCCAGGTCACTTTATGCTTTTAAGAACAACTGAGAGACTACTGGAACTTTCAGTCACAGAACTTGGGTCCTTCATAACTGGCAAACTGATGATCACATATTAATGTGCATTTGGCACGCTTTTCTAGGTCTTCATCAGACTGAATTTAGTAACAGACTGTCTTTGGTGTTCAAGGGATCTTAAAGGCTGCAGGAGGTCAGAGAAGCAAGCATTGGTCCCTTGCTTTCTGTGGGCCCCTGTCTTCTGTGAAATCCAAGAGCTCAGCAAGGATGGAAGGGGAGTGTGGGCTCCCTGACAACAGCAGGGCTAAGAAGTAGGAGCTTGGGTGAAGGATTTGCACTAGACATGAACCTCCATTGATTGTCATTGGGGCTGAGAGGCTGGGTTTGGAGCCTGGCTGTTTGATGAGTTCTCAGCAAGTGACTAGCAGCATAAGCATAAGCCTGGGCCAGGAACTCAATGAAGAAAGGGTACCAGGCAGGACTGACTGTCCTGAATCCATTCTTTCTTTTTCTTACAGGCTTACCAAAAATGAACTTGATGATGAAGTGGCAGAGAGCTTTGCAGAGATGTTGAAAGTCAACCAGACATTGAAACATTTATGGTAATTCAGATTTCAACACTGTGCTTTTAAAAAAACACTTTAACATAAAACTGACATACCATAAAAGTCACTCTTTTGAAGTGTACAATTCAGTGATTTTTAGCATATTTATAGGTTGTGCAGTCAACACTACTCTCTAACTCTAGATCATTTTACCTAACCACCTCCCCTACTCCCCAAAAACCTGCATGCGTTAAGCAATCACTCCCCATCCTTCTTCCCCCTTGGTTCCTGCATGTGTGCTAAGTCACCTCAGTTGTATCCAACTTTGTGACTCTAAGGACCGTCGTAGCCCGACAGGCTCCTCTGTCCCTGGGATTTAGCATTGAGAGTCCCTTGGACTGCAAGGAGATCCAAGCAGTCCATCCTAAAGGAGATCAGTCCTGGGTGTTCATTGGAAGGATGATGCTGAAGCTGGAACTCCAATACTTTGGCCACCTCATGCGAAGAGTTGACTCATTGGAAAAGACCCTGATGCTGGGAGGGGTTGGGGGCAGGAGGAGAAGAGGATGACAGAGGATGAGATGGCTGGATGGCATCACCAACTCGATGGATATGAGTTTTGAGTAAACTCTGGGAGTTGGTGATGGACAGGGAGGCCTGGCGTGCTGCAATTCATGGGGTCTCAGAGAGTTGGACCTGACTGAACTGACTGACTGAACTGAATCTTATTTTCTGTCTCTCTGGATTTGCGTTTTCTGGGCCTTTCATAGAGATGCAGTCATATGATATGGGACCTTTTGTTTCTGTGTTATTTCAGTAGCGTAAGTTTTCAAACTTCATCTACACTGTAGCATGCATCAGTACTCCATTGCTTTTTATGGCTGAAGATTCCATTGTATGGATAGTCCACGTTTTGTTTGTCCATTCATCAGTTGATGGACATTTGGATTGTTTCTCTTTATGACTGTTATGAATAATGCTACTGTGAACATTCGTGCATGTTTGTGTAACCATATGTTTTCATTTCTTTTGGGAATATACTTAAGAATAGAATTTCAGGGTTATATGGTTATTTTGTTAACTGCTAAACTGTTTTCCAAGGTGATTATACTATTTACATTCTCACCAGTCATGTATGAGGGTCACCATTTCTCCACGTCCTCACCAACACAGGTTATTGGTCTTTTGGGGTCATACCATCCTAGGGGATATGAAGTGCTGTCTCATCGTGGTTTTGATTTGCATTTCCCTGTTGGGTGTCTTTTCACGTGCATATTGGCCATTTGTATATCTTCTTTGGAGAACTGGCTCCACATTCTTTGTTCATTTGTAAATTGGGTTTGGCTGTGGTAAGTCACTTTAGTTGTGTCCGACTCTTTGCAACCCTTTGAACTGTAGCCCACCAGGCTCCTCTGTCCGTGGGGATTCTCCAGGCAAGAATACTGGAAAATGGGTTGCTGAGCCCTCCTCTAGGGGATCTTCCCCACCCAGGGATCAAACTCTTGTCTCTTATATCTCCTGCATTGCCAGGTGGGTTCTTTACCACTAGTGCCGCCTGGGAAGCCCTAAATTGGGTTATGTGCCTTTTAATTGCTGAGTTGTTAGGATTCTTTAAATATTCTAGGTGCTAGACATTTACTAGATAGATAATTTGGAAATATTTCTTTTCAGTTTCTTCACAGTGACCTTTGAAGCACCAGTTTTTAATTTTGATGAAGTCCAATTTATTTTTTCTTTAGTAGCTTGTGCTTTAGGTTGTCTTACTAAGAAATCATTGCCTAATCCAAGGTCACAAAGATTTCCTTTAAGTGTTACAGTTTTGCTCTTACATTTAGGTCTTGATCCATTTGGAGTTCATTTCTGTGTATGGTATGAGGTTTGGGGTCCAGCTTTATTTTATTGCATCTAGATAATCAGTTGTCCCAGCACCCCATGTTGAAAAGACTCCTCTCTTTTGAATGGCCCTGACACTTTTGCCAAATCAGTTGACCATAAATGTGTGAGTTTATTTCTGAACTTTCTATTCTGGTTGAGCCATATGTTTATCCTTATGCCAGGACCATACTGTCCTGCTTATTGTAACTTTGTAATAAGTTTTTGAAACCAGGAAGTGTGTGTTTCCAACTTTGTTCTTCTTTCTTAATATTGTTTCGACTATTCTGGGTCCCTTGCCTTTCCACCTGAATTTTAGATCACCATGTCAGTTTCTATATATATATATAAACCCAGTGTGTTACATCTGTTTTTTTCCCTTTTCTTTCTGACCCTTTCTTTCTTTTATGCCTTTCCCTAGGTGTCAGGCCAGCCTCTCCAGGGAGAACACAGTGAGAAGAGGGCTAGAGAGTGAGTCTTCGCTCTTTGTGTGAGCACAGACCACACTGGCCAGGGTGAAGGTAGCCAGTGGGCCTGAGCACTGCCAGCCTTTTTAACCTCTCCTCCTGCCCAGCCTCTTACCAGGTCTAGGCTGCAGGCAGCTCAGCCTACCTCCAGCAAGGCGTCATTAGGAATTAGAAGGATTTAACTGAATGCAGAACTCTGTGCCCACTTCCAGGTTCTATTTTTGCTCCTTTTGCAAAAAGTCCAAGTCACACTGTGGTCATGCTTACCAGAAGGTTACCACCTCTGCATCAAGACCAGGGGCCCCAGTCTGTGGGAGATGTGGCAGCAATCACTGGGTCCTAGCTACAGCATGGTTGCCTAGTCCTGTGGGCTTGGGCAGGAATGGTGACAAGAACTTGTACTCGGCACCATGGTAGAGACTGAGAACTACTTCATACCCATCCTCCTATTGAAACTCACACACTCAGGCTTGTGGGTTCTCTTACAGTTATTCTCATGTTATAGGTTAGGCAACCGAAGAACAGAGAGCTTCTAACCATGCTATACTGCTTCCTTCTAAGGGACTGGCTTAATTTCTGAAATCTCATCAGTCACAGTAATTTAGGCCTTCATCTTCCTCATACAGCTGCCTTCTTGGATAGGTGAAGTGCATTTGCAGCCTTTATCTACAAAAAGCCAGAGGAGAGGAGTGAACCTGTGATAAAAAAAAAAGTAGACATATCACTGACTTGTGCTACATTTTTTTCCTGGGTGGCTAGAAGCATAGCCTCCCAGGGGAGCAATTCAGGACTTGTTCAGGCTTCTCAGCTCTATCTGAAACCTTCGTTTCATTAAGTCACTGTTACCCAACATAATGGGGTATAGTCCTATAGGCCCCAGTATGGATGCTTTTCCACTGGGACTCATGAAGAGCTCCCCCTCCCTCCCTCCCTCTCAGATGTCGGCTAGGACATGGCACCATTTTGGAAGCCTCTTCCCCCTCCCTGGCAAAGAAGAGAATGCCTAGCTCTTTAAACATACTTAACTTCAAAAGTTGCCTTGCCTTTCTCCAGCCACCTGGAAGGAAATATCAGACTGCCTGTTCCCAGGTACATTCCTTAGAATTTGTTGTTCAGACTGGTAGTCTCCAAACAATGAAAAGTGTCAAGCACACATGCATGTATATGTTCATGTAATAAAGTACCTACATTTGAATATACAGATTATGCTCATGCTAAAAATATACAGAAAAGTTAAACATTAAAAAAATTTATTGAAGTAAAACTTATCTATTAATACAATATTTAATTTCTATCTGTACTGCACAGTAACTCAGTTATATATTTAAAAAAATTTTTTAAGTCTTTACTGAATTCGTTATGATATTGATTCTCTTGTTCTGGTTTTTTGGCCATAAGGCATTTGGATTTTTAGCTCCCCAACCTGGGATCAAATCTGCATCCCCTTCACTGGAAGACAAAGTCTTAAATCACTGGACTGCCAGGGAAGTCCCCTGTGTATTGTTTTTCATATTCTTTTCCATTATGGTTTATCACAGGATTTTGACTATAGTTTCCTGTGTTATATAGTAGGATCTTGTTGTTTATCCATCCTGTATATAATAAATTGCATCTATGAATCCCAAATTCCCAACCCTTCCCTCCCCACCCTTCCTCCTCATTTGCCAAAGTCTGTTCTCTATATTTGTTTTGCAGTCTATTTTTATTTTGTAGATAGGTCCATTTGTGTAATATTTTAGATTCCACATATAAGTGCTATCATACGGTATTTGTCCTTCTCTGCTTAGTAAGATATTCTTAATGGCTGAGTAATGGTTCATTGTGTGTGTGTATACACACCCCCCCCCCCCACATCTTCTATATCCATTCATCTGATGGCTATTTTATATGGATATATGCCCAGGAGTAGGATTGTTGGATCTTATGGCAACTCTATTTTTTAGTTTTTTTAAGGAACCTCCATACCATTTTCAATAGTGGCCGCACCAATTTACATTCCCACCAACAGTGTAGGAGGATTCCCTTTTCTTCAAATCCCCTCCAGTATTTATTATTTTTAGACTTTTTAAACATGGTCATTCTGACTGGTATGAAGTGGTACCTCATTGTGGTTTTGATTTTCACCTCTCCAATAATTAGTGACACTGAGCATCTTTTCATGTGCCTGTTGGCCATATGTATGTCTTCTTTGGAGAAATGCCTATTTAGGTTTTCTGCCCATCAGAAAATAAACATTTTAAAACACGTTGTTTATTCTCATGAGTCTGATCTAGACAGTCTTCGCTAGACTGAAAGTTAAATGGACTCAGTTCTTCCTGATCCTGTCTCTCATTCCATCATACCCTTCCAACCCCCTAATGACATGGACAGAGTTCATCCAGTATGACTTGATACTAAAGGTATGTTTTTCTTTCAGGCTTATCCAGAACCAGATCACAGCCAAGGGGATTGCCCAGTTGGCAGAGGCATTACAGAAGAACACTGGCATAATGGAGATTTGGTAAGACTGATCTATCCTTTTTCTTTTGATCTCCTTTTTGTAGTGGTAACAACAGTGATTATTTACTTAGCACCACCGACTATGTGCTATGCACAATGTAAGGCAATGTGCATTTATTTCTCATCTTTCCAACAATCTGTAAAGTAGGTAGTACTGTTTTCATTTCACAGATGTAGAAACTGAGGCCCAGACCCAGGTCACACCTAAGAGGAGAAGCTGAAATTCAGCCAAGGCTGTGACTTCATAGTCAGGACACTCTTCTGCAGTCCCCCTGTCCTAGATTGTACAGGGGCAGACAGACTGAGAAATGATTCCCACTGAGAGATGGCCTGGAGTCTGAAGCATGTTCTTTTCCTGTCTGGGCTCCCAGGCTGTATTTGAGCTGACTGTACTCTTTTCCAACTTCCTGTTTCTCTTCTGAGGACTCGCTTGTGCCAGCAGAAGGAAAGCCCATGGCCTGCCTCACTGCAATGTTGAGCCCCATTCCATTTCTCATGCATCCCACGGGACACATGCCCCCCGCCCCCCCCAAAGGTAGGACTGGGCCTGGAATATATTCATCGGGGTGAGGGAATGTGTGTGTCCCACTAGTAACAGCAAGGGCCCTGACTGCCTCAGTGCCAATATAACCAAGTTGAGAACAGCAGGCCCCTGTGTCCTTGAACCCAGACCCCCCAAGAGCTCTGGAATTTGCTCTCCGCCCCAGGCCTGGCCGAGTGTGAGGCTCAGACCTACATGGAAAGCCTGGCAGGGGCCAGAGACCACAGGAGTTCATGCTCCATCTAGGGCCCCGAGATCCATGGAGCAGCCTTGCCATGACCCAAACCCTCAGTTCAGGGGGTAGTTACTCATTAACTGTAGTACTTTTTTCATACTGGGGAGAAGAATTTCATAGCCTGAAAAATATAAGTCAAGGTACAGCTTGCTCCCCGATCTTGGCTGCTAGAACAGTGCTTTTTAAACTTTACTTTAGAACTCCTTAGAGGGTCATAAATTGGTTTGGTAGGTTATAACTAGCATTATTTGAAGAATGAAATGGAATAGAACACCAGAATGTTGTGTGCACACTCTGAGATATTTCATAATCTAATTTCAGATATGGGTGTGTATGTATAGATATGTACCAGCATAGACGCTGGTTCACAATGTAAAATGTTCTTATTTGGAGGCAAAGCCAAAAAAACATTTGAAAACATCATGCTTGAGAAGAGAGCCCAGGCTCCAAACAGATTGATGGAGGCGCTGTGGCAAGTCGTCTGCAAAGCCAAGCCTACTCCTCAGTCAGGAATCCTTTCCTAGAAGTACCCCATTTGCTGCTGACTCTGTTGTTTGAAGATGGCAGACAGGTGGGGAGAGGACAGGAGACCAGGCTGAAGGACAGTCTGTGGACCACAGCTGGCTTCCACTCTGCTCAGTGACTGGTTAGGATGGTTTAAGCACATGCAGCTGCTTTAATTTTGACTAGCTTGAAATGGCCTCCCAAAGACCATTGTTCCTACACAAAGAACTATTTGTATAGGACCAAGTATCAGTCTTTAAGGCATGCTGTGTAGAACCTGAACGAGGCACTGGTGTCAAGAAGGATTAGAAAAGAGGACAAGGAGGAAGCCTCGGGCGCTGGCCCAGGCGTTATCTTCACTCCAGCCCCTGGGTCATCCCAGAAGTCTCACATCATGGGCTGCCAGGGCTGGGGTCGGGCTCTGCCCAGGGTCACCACTGGCAGAAATTACCTTTGGCCATCTCCTTGGACTCTTTATCTGTAATGCCATTTATGTCTGCCTCATCCCCGTTCAAAAAGAACTTGAGATCTGAAGTCCCTCGGTGAGTTATGCATTCAAAGACAGAAATTAGCAGTGTTCAATGACCTGGTGTCATAATTACAGCACTTACCCACACTCCATTGTAAGAGCTTTCTGTGAGGCTCTCTCCTCCAGACTGAGCTCCTTGAGGGTAGGGCCCCTGTCAAGGTCACTGCAGAGTCCCCAGGGAAAGCACTGCATCTTAATTGGTTGAATAACAAATGAGTGCTTGAGTGCCAGGTGCTGTGCCGATTCCAAGAATCAAGTGGTGAGGAAGATATGGTAAAGGAAAAAATTATTCAAGTAATTATTTAGTAACAGTCATGATGAGTGCCAGAGAGGGAAAAGCTGAGAAGGGAACCTAACACAAAGAAGGTTTCAGGGAAGGTCTTCTGAAGGAAGTGGCATTTAAACTAAGCCATGAAGGACAAATAGGAGATGATCAGCTGAGGTGGGAAGAAAGTGTTCTACGAAGGAGGACATCATGTGCAAAAGTTTTGAGGCAGGAAGGACCGTGGTACCCTTGAAGAACAGTGTAGGAGAAGAGCCACAGCAGGTGGAGGTGATGGGCAGACACTAGAGCATGAAACATCTATGGGTCCTTTTGCATATTTTTGGTGTTTATCCTAAAAGCAGTAGAAAGTCATTGAAGGGTTTCAAGCAAAGAGGGATGTGCTCAGAGCCACACTGTAAAACAAACAAACAAACAAACACCACCCTGACTCCTGTGGGAAAGGCCAGAGAAGAGGTGATAGATACGCAGATCAGGATGGTGGTGAACATATGGAGAGGTTCCAGGGAGCCATGCTAGGGATACTTAGGAAACAAAACTTTGTGACAGAATATGAAGGTGTCAAGGTTAACCCCCAGGTTACTAACTTGCACAACTGGAGGAAGAGTGGTGCACCATTCACGGAGCTCGGGAACCCGGGGGAGAGGTGCCTACTCTGAGGTATCAGGGAGGCATCCAGACGAAGATGTCAAGCAGGTAAGAGGCACCGGAGTAGAGAGGTCTCGCCCAGGTCACTGACATACAGATGAGGCCAGGGATAGATGAGGTTCTTCTGGGGAAGAGGGCTGGGCCCCAAGCCTGGAGGAAATCCATTATTTAGAGGTCATGTGGAGGGGAATATAAACAAGGAAATGGAGTGGTCAGATGTAGGAAAGAAACCAGAGAGTGTAAATATCAAGCCAAGAAATGGATGGTAGTGTTTCAAGGAAGAGGAAGAAATGCCTGTGAAGGGCAAGAAAGATAAGGCCTGAAAAATGTCATTTAAATTCAGTTTTATCGAGGCTATTGGTGACCTCAGATCCATTCCATGGAGTGACAGTAGCTCCATGAAGGGATTTTTTTTTAATTGGATTATAATTGCTTTACAGCGTTGTTAGTTTCTGCTGTACCACAGCGTGACTCAGCTACGTGTATACATAGATGAGCTCCCTGTGCTATAGAGCAGCTTCCCATAGCTGTCTGTTTTACATGGTAGTGCACACATGTCAATGCTACTCTCTGTTTGTCCTACCCTCTCCTTCCCTCACTGTGTCCACAAGTCAGTTCTTTCTCCATGTCTGCATCTCTGTTCCTGCCCTGCAAATAGTTTCACCAGTACTAAATTTTTCTAGATTCCGTATATATATATATACATTCATATATTTTTCTGACTGACTTTACTCTGTATGACAGACTCTAGGTTCATCCACGTTGTTACAATGACCCAATTTTGTTCCTTTTTGTGTTTGAATAATATTTCATTGTATATATATACCACATCTTCTTTATCCATTTGTCTGTCCATGGACATTTAGGCTATTTGAAGTAGTGTTGCAGTGAATACTGGAGCACATGTATCTTTTTTGAATTTTTGTTTTCCCAGAGTATATGCCTAGGTGTAGGATTACTGGGTCCTATGATAGTTTTTAGTTTTTTAAGGAACCTCAATACTGTTCTCCATAGTAGTTGTATCAATTTTCATTCCCACCAGCAGTGCAGGAGGGTTCCCTTTTCTCCACATCCTTTCCAGCATTTATTATTTGTAGATTTGTTTTGATGATGGCCATTCTGACTGGTGTGAGGTGATACCTCATTGAAGTTTTAGTTTGCATTTCTTTAATGAGTGATGTTGAGCATCTTTTCAGGTGTTTGTTGGTCATCTGGAAAGGATTAATATCAAACAATTCATCAAGATAGCCAAGTAAAAGGATGTGGAGGTCACCTTCCCCCACAAACACATCAAAAATACATCCAAGTGTAGAACAAGTTTCATGGAAAACTGGCAAGAGAACTCCTATACAACCAAGGCTACAAGAAAGATTCCCATGTAATCAGGTAGGATGGGAAAAAGAATCAGGTGAGGATGGCACCCTTGGGAAGGGACTAAGAGGAAAAGGAAGACCACCACGTGGATACTTGCCCTGGGAAGTGAGCGGGTTGAATCACAGACTGCGTGTCCCAGTCCTGGGCTCCTGTGCAGAGGAGACAAGCCTCCTTGGCTGCTTGGAGAACAGTATGACAGAGAGAGAGACCGGAGAGCCTAGACTCCACTTGGGAGGAGTGTGTGGGTGCTTGCTTGCCACCAGACAGGGCAGAAAGAGGTCTGCCCCAGTGGCTGCCACCTCACTATGCTCCTGAAGCCGAGCTGAGCAAACACCCCAGGCCCGCCCACTCCACACCACAGACTGGCACTAGATCTAGGGAAGCCAAGTCCTGGCAGAAGACCTGATCGAGGGACAGAGACGTGGCCCCCAGGCGCCTGCTGGGTGCTTGCTACAACAGTGCTAACAAAGCAGCCCCGATGTCTAATGGCAACGGAGCCGCTTCGGCCATAATGCCATGGCCCCCACTGCTAGCCAAGCACATGCTCCAGTCTCTTCAATGCCACAACCTTGCACCAGATGTGGCATGACCACAGTGGGAAGAAGCATGACCTTGGGCTGCATGTGAGATGCCTACACAGGTGGTGCATCAGACCTCTGTAAATGCACAAGCCCCAGTGCAGGGAGAAGGGAAGACATACACCTACAGGGAACAGAGCCAACTCTACAGCCCACTGCTCAGGGCATTTGCCCCAGCAACTCCGGAGCAGCACCTGCCCTGTGTGATGGTCACTGAGCAGAGAGGAGATCCCACATCACAGCCTGTGCAGGTTCTAGCCATACTTCATCAAGGTGATGGTGGCCAGCATACCCTGAAGAAGACAAGGCTGGCATCCACAATCAAATCCAGTCCTCACACCAAAGACACCAGAGGGACACTCACATAAAAGCACCTCTTTATGACCACAATAGATTGCTTTTCTCTTTTTCAGTGAATTTAGGTGAAACTGTTATGCAAAAGGAAGAAGCAGTGGAACTACTCCCAATTGAAAGAGCAAGAGAAACCCCCTGGAAAAAGTAATGAAACAGAAAAGCTGGTAATAAAAATGCTAACTGAATGAAAAAAGAAAACTGATCTAAGCACAGATCATTTTAACAAAAACTATAAAAAGATCTAATCAAAAATAGGTAATTCAATGTCTGAGACAAAACTCACTCTAAAAGAAATAGCAGGGAGGGGACAAAAAAAAATAAAAGAAATAGACTAAATGACACAAATGCAAATGATATGAAAGATAATGGAAATTAATATAGCAGACAGAAAATGAAAAAAATGACAGCAACATAAGAGATCTATGGAATAATATAAAATGTGCCAATATCTGCTTTGTAAGGATTCCAGAAGGAGAAAAGAGAAGGCAATAAAACATATATTTGAAGAAAGTATGGCTGAAACCTTCCCAAACCTAAAGAAGGGAACAAATATCCAGGAACAGGAAGCACAGAAGGTCCCAAATAAGATGAACCCAAGCAGAACCACACCAAGACATGCCAGAAAAAGTATTAATAGCATGATATATTCAAAGTCCTGAAAGGGAAAAATATCAACCTAGGATACTTAATCCCAGGAAGATTATCATTTAGAATATAAGAATTTCTCAGAGAAGCAAAGAATTTACCATTACAAAACCTACCCTAAGAGAAATGTTGAAGAATCGTCTCTAAATGGAAAAGAATCTATAGGAAAGGGAAAATACCAATAGGAAAGGCAAATATATATTGAGGATTGAAGATCGCTTAAACCAGTACATGGATTAAAATGAAAAAATTGCAAAATTGACTGTAACTACACTAAACAATAAAGGGATAAACAGGGAAATATAAAATATGACATTAGGAATTAAAAATGTAGCTCTAAGGCAAAATGGATAAAAGCAAAAATAAACAAATGGGACCTGATTAAACTTAAAAGCTTTTGCATAGCAAAGGAAACCCCTGAAAAAAATGAAAAGAGAACCTGCAGAATGGGATAAAATATTTGCAAATGATGAAATTGACAAGAGGTTAATGTCCAAAATATACAAACAGCTCATACAGTTCAACATCAAAAGAACAGCTCAATTAAAAAATGGGTAAAAAACCTGAAGAGACATTTTTCCAAAGACAATTTACAGATTCCCAACAGGCACATGAAAAGGTTCTCAACATTACTAATTATTAGGAAATGCAAATCTAAACCCAATGAGGTATCACTTCACACCTGTCAGAATGGCCACCATCAAAGTCTACAAATAATAAATGCTGGAGAGGATATAGAGAAATGGGAACCCTCGTACACTGTTGGTGGGAATGTAAACTGGTGCAGCCACTATGGAAAACAATATGGAGGATTCTTAATCTAACAGTAGAAATACCATATGATCCAGCAATTGCACTCCTGGGTATATATCCAGAAAAAGATAAAACACTAATTTGAAAAGAAATATGTACCCCAGTGTTCACAGCAGCACTATTTACAATAGCCAGGACATGGAAGCAACCCAAGTGCTCATCAACAGATGACTGGATTAATATGTGATAAACACACACATATATGTACATATATATGTACACACACACATGCACAATGGAATATTACTCGGCCATAAAAAAGAATGAAATACTGCTATTTACAAAGTGGACGGACCTAGAGAATATTATGCTAAAAGAAATAAGTCACAGAAAGAAAGACTATTATTAGATGTGGAATCTAAAAAATAATATACATGCCTGTATATATGCAAAACAGAAACAGACTGACAGATAAGAAAATGACCTTGTGGTTACCAAAAGGGTGAGGAACAAATCAGGGGTATGAGAGTAACATATATACAAATTACTGTATTATAATAAGAATATACTGTGTAGCACAAGAAATTATACCCATTATCTTGTAATAACCTGTAATGAAAAATAATGTGCAGAAATACTGAATCACCATGTTGTACACCTAAAATTAACACAATACTGTAAATCAACTATACTTCAGTTTTAAAAAAGAAAAAAGTGTTTGACAGATCATGTTCTTAATTTCAGGGTTGTGTGAAGTATGAGAGTGTGTTAGCAACACATGCTGGGAAGGTGTATACAGTAGTCCCTCACTTACTTGTGTTCTTTTTCTCCAACAGCTTAAATGGAAACTTGATAAAACCAGAGGAGGCCAAGGTCTTTGAAGATGAGAAGCGGATTGTCTGTTTTTGAGGGGATGTTTTCCTGTGGGTGGGTCTTGGCCCTGGGGGCAACTCAGTGCAGTTGCCTATCTTGGATGGTGGCATCCAGGGTCTGCTGAGGTGGGACTGCTACGAATCCTGCTTTCATGATGCAGACCAGGTGGGCCCTCTGACTGGCAGAGTCCCTGAGTAGCTGTGACAATTCTGCAGGAAAAGCATGAGCCATCTTAGTGACTGTAAACATTCTATGATGCGATGTTAATGCATAGCCATGATTATTTAAGTCTGCCACTGGAGGAAGGAAACTTAGAGCGCATACACATGCCTGCCCAGAGGCCAGGGGGAGCGAGGCAGTCGCTGCCATGTTCACTGAAGAGTTGAGGACATGGTGCAAAGTTGGACCATGTTTCCTGGGGGCAAAGCAAAGTGTTTTACCTGAAATATTGTCTTCCTCCTCAGTACCTCCCCAAGTGCGGAGACTGTTCCCACCTCAAACTGTAGCCACTGGGGGGGGTGCAGCGTGGGGGTCTGACTCCTCCAAGGCTCTGTAGGGAGTTGGTGCCAAAGGAAGACCCCACCATGGACTTTTGTCCTAGTCCTGGAGTCTCACCGTCTGCTGACAAAGATGGCAGGATGCCCTCTTCGCCAGTCCGAGGGACAGGACAACGTCTTCATAATACTGAGGCTCCACTCAGGGCTTTTGTGGGATGGGACCAACCTCCAGAAGGCTGATGCTATGGGCTCTACCCCAGGAAGAAGAATCAGTACCGTTCTCCAAAAGGAATAAAGGCCTGGTGTGCCCTTGTGGCCGTGGCATCCAAACTGGAGCTTCTCTCTCGCCCTGTGGAGAAAGGGAAGTCTCCTCCTGCCCCTGAGCAGTTGTGAGGATGGCTGTGTTGGAGGCAAGGCTCAGAGTCGCTGAGAACTCGGCTAGGAGAGCATGTTAGACCCCTGCCACCATGGCGGGCATTTTGTGGATGCTAAATGGGGGGAAGGAGGAGGTTTTACCAGATAACTCATTCATTTGCCAATTCGATTGTTAGTAAAATACTGAAACACTCATTTCTAATTGAGTTCAGTTCAATCGCTCAGTCGTGTCTGACTCTTTGCGACCCCATGAACGGCCAGGCCTCTCTGTCCATCACCAACTCCCAGAATTTACCCAAACTCATGTCCATTGAGTCGGTGATGCCATCCAACCATCTCCTGTCATCTCCTCCTCCTCCTGCCCTCAATCTTTCCCAGCAATCTTTTCAAATGAGTCAGCTCTTTGTATCAGCTGGCTAAAGTATTGCAGTTTTAGCTTCAGCATCAGTCCTTCCAGTTGTCTGAGTCAGGGGTTTTAAAAAGGAAGTCGGCCTGGCAAGCACGCTGTGACCCCTTCAGAGGCACTTACTGCATTGGGTGGGGCCCTGGGGTGACGTGCTGTGAGGAGAACTGACGAGGGCCAGTCAGAGGCATCCTCAGTGTGATCCTTCACAAGTCCCTCCACCTACCAAGGGAGGGAAGAAGGCGGAGAAGGCATCCGAGGCCTCTCCATCCGACCTCCCAGTCCACACAAGTGGCTTCTCAGAGGGAATACCTTGAGTCCCTGGTAGCTGGGGCCAGGGTACGCTGGCATGGCCAGATTTCATGGCCCTCACCACTGTTTCCTGATGGGCCGTCCCCTACCCTCCTCGGCTGTTCACTGCCAAGTGGAGGACCAGGGTGGGCTTGTACCCACTGTGGCAAGAGGCACTGAGCTGACAGGGGTAAATCGGGGGCTGTTCAACAGCACCTTTGAGTTGTCAGAAGTCCAGCCTGGCTTTATACTGCAGCCCCGGTTAAGAAGGGTATAATTCAACAAGTTAGCCCTGACAGGTAGGGGGAAAATCCTGTACAGTCACATGGGAGCTATTCCTCTAAGGTCCTGGCCACTCCAGATTTGGGTATCTGCCTAACAGTCACCACCCCCACCCCCACCCAAGGGAGGACCTCTCTTCAGAATATCTGAGCAGCAGATATGCCCAGGTCACATAAAGGAATGAGCGGTTGGTGAGCTGAAGGCCAAAGGTGCTTAGAACAGACTTCAGACTTGCTGAGTCAGAGAACCACACTTCCCAGCTGACAGATGCATATTTTATTATAAACTGCTAAAACTAAACTTTTGAGAGTCTAAAATGAACCCAGAAACTACCAAATATTACTACTTTTAGAGACTATGAAAATTAAAACTGTTGCCTCTAAGGGAAACTGAATTTGTGTGATATTGGGTAAATTCTAACCTGGAAATACTTCGGTTTTCCAGATGGCGAATGATGTATTTTCTTACAAAAGTGAAATTAGACTCCTAATTTGTTGGAAGGGTTCTCCACTACCCACAGGTGAACTTCTCTGCAGAGAAATGGAGACTTGTCCTAATCAAGAAAAAGATAATAGGAAATTGGGGGGGGGAGGGAATTCCACAAACTTAGGATATGACTATTTCCACAGGACATGTTAGTTGATTTCAGGGAAGAAACCAGAGCTTCCGTGTTTCAGACCTACATGCCCATGTTGACTTAGAACTTATAAAATAAGCCATGTCAAATCACTGTGGGGCTTTGGGCCACATCTTAAGACTGTCAAAATTTCAATTTCTACCTTGAAAACGGAAATCCCAGAGTACTGACTTACAAAGTTGTTGTGAGGATTAAATGAGCTGCCACATGGAGATCAGCACAATGCTGGTGCAGGGTCAATGCTCAATGAAAGTGAAAGTCGCATCCAACTCTTTGCGACCCAATTCTCCACGCCAGAATACTGGAATGGGTAGCCTTTTCCCTTCTCCAGGGCATCTTCCCAACCCAGGGATCAAACCCAGGTCTCCCGCATTGCAGACGGATTCTTTACCAGCTGAGCCACAAGGGAAGCGCAATACTGGAGTGGGTAGCCTATCCCTTCTCCAGAGGATCTTCCTGATCCAGGAATCGAACCGGGGTCTCCTGCACTAAAGGTGAATTCTTTACCAACTGAGCTATCAGGGAAGCCCCCAATGCTTCAGTATGCAACAGTATGATAACTTGGGTTTGATCCCTAGATCGGGAAGATCCCCTAGAGAAGGAATGGTAGGTAACCCACTCCAGTATTCTTGCCTGGGAAATCCCATAGACAGAGGATCCTGGAGGGCTATAGTCCATGGGGTCCCAAAGTGTCAGACATGACTTAGCGACTAAACAACAATTATAAAGCCAATGTTTCTCATTTCTGCTCACAGTGGCATCCCCTGGTATCCCCTTGACACTCTGAGGCTTAGGAAACTTCCCAACAAGGTCAAATATAGGACGAGAAGTTCTCAAATCCAAATCTAGAAGCATTCAACATTGAGCTTCCTGAAGTATCCTGACTCCTTCAGTGAAAAGCACAGCCATGAGTTGTCATCATTCTTACCATTTACGTGTCACTCACTGAACAGAGGGAGGCGCATCCGTGTCTTCACTGCACAGTAAGAGCACAGCGAAGCTGGCACCACCGCACGAAGCCAGGCCCGCCAGCCTTTGCCAGGCGTCCCTTTCAGCTCCCCAACTGGGAAGGCACATTTGGCTCGTTGGTGTTTTGGTCCACTTCCAGGGGTGACACACGTCTATTTCCAGTAACTAATTGCTCACTTACAGGAATAAAAATCCGTGCTCTGGAGCTGAAAGGCAAAAGTATGACCATCATCTCAGGTCCATAGAGAGGAATTTTAATGAAAAGTGGAATTAGCTGGTAAGGAGGCCAAAGCTCATGTTGCCGCACAGATGGGCTGGCCACAGAGCTACAGGGCCCAGGGGCCATCCCAGCGGGATTCTCACAGACTTAAAGCTGAATTAACTGCACCCAGACCAGCTTAAAACTCTCTTGGAAGCACTAAGCACTAAAAAGATTGTAGGGCCCCAGTGATCTGTAACGAAATGAATGAATGAATTAAAAAAAAGATTCTAAACTACAGTAAATTATAAAATAAGTTCAAGGATGCTAAGCAAGTTTCTGATTTTCCCCATGCCTACATAGGTGCTTTTTGGGGGCAAATAACAAATATCAAAATAACTTGATTTTTTTTCCCTTGACAGTTTCCTCTCTGTCACATTTGTATTACAAAAGCAGTATCACAATATTAACATTTTTAAAATAATGCTTATAATAGTGCTAATAGCAACTTAACTTTTGCATGTCATTTTTCCATATTTTGCCTACAAGGAGACTTTTATTATGGCAAAATACATGTAATATACAATTTATCATCTTAATCATTTTTATACATTTCAGCGGTATAAACACATCTGTATGTTGTGTAATCATCACCAGTGCCCATCTCCAGAATTACTACTCTTGTAAAACTGAAACTCGATGCTTATGAAACAGTAATTCCCCTTGCCCCCACTTCTGGCAACCACCTACTACTTTCTTTCTCTATGATTTTGACTACTATAGTTCCCTCACATAAGTGAAGCCATACAGTGTCTTTCTGTGACTCTTTATTTCACTCAGCATGATGTCCTCAAAGTTTATCCATGTCAGAATTTCCTTTTTTAGGGTTGACTATTTTGACATCTTTTTATATAGCTATAATCACAGTGAACACTTATAATTTATTTAATTTTCCCACCATTATTAATCTTTATAATTACCATTTGTATTCTATTGGTATGTTAATTTGCTTAATTATGTCCCAAGTGTTAGACATTCAGGTGTCCAGACTAGCTGTAGGGATGATTATTATAAACATTTCTACGGAAGTAAAAAAGTTTCTTTAGGATTATTTCTTTGGAGTGGGATAGGCAAGTCAAAGATTCTTGCTGTGAATTTTTATTATTTTTTTCAATCTATATGAATCCATCAGGTTTAGGAGTCTAATAAATGGTTTGGAAGCGGGTGGAAGTTAGAGAACAATGTACTCTCTCCTTTGAATAGGAATGAGACTCCCTGCTCTGGACCTGTCCCCTCCATGGCACCCAGGCCCTGCCCGCACACACACGAATGTTACCGCCACAGACAGGCCCTGGTAATAACTGCAGCTGCAGGGACTAATGAGTGGTCCTTACATTGGCATCTGTTCTCAAGTGGCACTAAGACAGTCACTTATAACTGAGTAAGTGTGTCTTCAAAATCAGTTTTCTTTGATTTTAAACATGTGTATGTGTGCATGTGTCTCTGCTTTATCTAAACAAACTCACTCCGACTGATTCCATTAGCACTGGGTTAAGTGGTAACTAATTCTTCCCAACAACCCTATGAAGTAGGGATTACTTCCTGAGTGAAGAAAATGAGAACTAGTGAGTGTGGATATGTATCTCATCTTACTAATGAGAATGTGTGTAAAAACGGGGAGCTGGGGAGGAATTTCCCTTCAGGAAAGGGATTTTGGCAAATGTAGAAGATTGGACTTGGTAATAGCTAAGACTTTGAGCTCACTTAGTTCAGCCTTCTTACCATGCCAGTGAGGACACTGGCCTCAGAGAGCAAAAGTGACTTGCCCAAGGTCACACACGTTATCTGTAGAGCAAGAACTAGAACACAGGCCTTCTGGCTGGCTTTATTTTCCCTCTGTTTTTCCCTTTTTTTTTTTGCCAAGCCTATTAAACCTGATCCCAATCCACTAGGGCAAGTTAAACAAAATGAACTCTGCTCCCCAAGGACTTAGGTGGGGTGTCTTTAGTGTCCCTCTGGGAAGCCTGGTCTTATTTTCATATACTAATGATGCGAAAAGCTCCAAGACTCGGGAGTCCTGCTTTCAAGTCTCATTGACTGACAGTCTCAACGTGAGGAACACCCTGGAGAATGTCGGGTGACCCAAGTCTGACTCTTCAAAGCCCACACATCCTCTGCCAGCCACAGCCATGGGACTGGACCAAAGGAAGTAGATGTATTCCAGAGAGCTGGAGAAGGTCATGCTGGGATTATTTCCATCACAAGAGGGCAGCACGTATCCAGCGATTAGTCCATTATATAAGTGGCCTGAAGGATTCAACTGTGTAGGGGGTGCTGATAATGATCCAATATTCTCCTTACATAAAAATCCAAAGTACATGGTGTTAAGAGCAATTTCATTGTCAGTGCATTCATCCATGACTTCAAAGACACTGGTAAGTTAGGGAGAGAAACAGCAGAGTTACAGCCAGTTCTGTGGGTACTGAGGGTCTGGGTTCAAATTCCAGTGCTCCCAGGACTTGTGGGACCTTGGACAATGACTTAGCTTTTCTGCGCTTGAGCTTTCCATCTGTAATAGTACTGCTCCCTTTGCAGGGCTGTTTGGTAACGAGGAGTAAATTAATAAATATTTTTATAAA